CCCACTGAAAGGAGTTATTCATCAGTTGGAATTCTACCGCCCATACTTACATATGAATGATACATTTCTGATCATGAAAGAAGCGAGAATGAAGCAACGAAAGTACTTGACAAGTTCATCGATGCGCATTCAGCAATAAAATTTACCAACCGAAAAAGTATCTCACTCCTAGACTTATTTCTAACCAAAGACAGTAAGAAGTAGTCAGTATGTGGGAAACCTACTATGACAGGTCAGTATACTCATTTTTTGAGTTTTGAAATATAAATACAACCTCGTAAAGTGTCTAGTTTATAGAGCCACGATAATCAGCTCAAATAGCTTTCTCAATGAGGAGCTTATGTTATCATCAGGTAAATACTTAGTAACTTTGATTGGACACTAGTAACTAGTGTGACGTGTCTAGTCTTTTCTTTGGTGCAGACTGAATTCTATCGGTCAGGTATTTGTAATGTGGCCACCATTCTAGGTAGCTAGGCGTCACGGTGCACGTGGATTTGATCATATTTGATAGTTGGAGGCAATCGACAGGAAGCCTTGGACCTAGGTTTCGTTCTAGTTGGCACTCATCAGCAAGGTGTATCTGCAACCTTGGCAGTCTGCAAAAAAGAAAGGACTAGACTCGTCACACTAGTCACTAGTGTCCAATCAAAATACTCACTAGAGTCCTACAGGAGGTCAATCGCGAGCCTGAATAGCTCAGTGGTAAAGTCTCTGACTGCAGCACTGGGTGACGCGGGTTCGAATCTCAGAAGGGACATGAGTTCCTTCAAAGTTGCAGATACGCCTTGCTGACTGGTGAGTGCCAACTAGCACGAAACCTAGGTCCAAGGCTTCCTGCCGATTGCCTCCAACTATCAAATTACTTAGTAAAAACGGTCGTCCAGATAAGTTCATTGAGAAAAATATGAACTTGCCAATAAGGTAGGACAGTGTGGCAACAGCTCCATAAAAGCAGTTTTTCATGAAACTACAGTTCCATGGTGATGACATCAGCGGAATAGTAAACGGCGAACGCCTGAAGAACACAATTAAAAGAATGTTCATTACAATTATTGCAATTTTACTTTCAAGAGAAATAAGGATATACTGCCTAATTTCGCGTCCTACATATGCATCTAAAAGTTTGACTGTTCCGGAGTAATTAGTTACATTGGGCGTACAATTAGGCAACGTTCTCTATCATAATCCGCAAAACATCATCCTGCATAGTAGTTAAGCAAGGGAAAGACAAGATCCATTAGTAGCTCTGTTTCACCTTACACCTTGTAGACAGTGAGCAGAAAGTTGATGTTAATATACAGCATTTAAAGTTGTACGCCGCATTCCGAATGCTAATCTTAATTTCGATTTTGTCGATTCGTCTTTTGTGCATACACGGGTGAAGAAGCCAAACCTGTGTTTGTCTTCAGAAAAAATTCGTACAGCCACTTTTCATTACCTTAGCCATCGTTACATGAATGTATAAATGGAACTACTTTGCCATTCCCCTAAGTTAGTATTTTACAACTCATCATTGCGCAAATTACTTTATTTCTCCTTAATCACCCATTACGTAATCCTGGGACACCTGGTCGAAAAATCCCGACACCAAGCTAACCCACAAAAACCAACTTCAACGTCATCTACAGAATACACGCGGGAATCTTGCAAAAGAGTACAAATCAAACTTCTTTAAACCAGAGAAGTGATGGCGATACACAAGCATGCTAAATCCTGAACTCTGAATGCAGAAATTAGTTCAGTATCACTAAATCTACAGTCGACTTGTTCTATCCATATACGGAATACGTGATTTCTTGTTTTTAGGCTCTTCTGAATTGTATTATTCTCTTCCGTTATCATCCTTTGTTACATCTTCGTACCTTTCATTACCGATTTCGTTCACTTGACTCTCGTTCAACTTTTCATTGAACTCCTCTACTCAATCCCGTTAATTATAGGACGTTACTGAGTTTACCTATTGAATTTTATCTCAGTTTCTACTTGATTAACCCTCTGTACATTATGTAATTTGTTTTCATAGAAACATTTATAGTCCTAGTGATACACATCTTTAACAATATTCCTTTTAACTGATTAAAAATGCCCATTAAAATTTTTCAAAAGAATAGATATTGAACAAGGAGTACTCTTTTCGACAACTTCATCATCAGGCTATACAGTTATATATACATTATAGTGAATGAATTAGTGTTATGAACAACATTCATGTTGTTCAAATAACATCGAATCAATAATATTGATAGATTACAGCTGAATAGCATCAACATAAAATAAACTGAATGTCAGAAGAATTAGGAAAGATAATATTACAGAGCACTGGTTGTTTGAATCGAATTGCAATAGCCTCTGCTGTTTGGATAATGCGGTGCTTCGATGATCTTGGCAATTTATTAAGCACCCGGTAGATTACAGAGAAGGATTCTTCCATGCTGGCTGGCTTTGTGACCGGTTTGCACCAGATAGTCCAATATCGAACTGTTAATGGTTTTCAATACACCTTTACTTAGCCATACTGGGATATGTTCTCGAGCACGAAAAATCAAGTTACTAGAGCAACGGCCAATATAACTCGCTCCACAAGCGCAGTTGAATTGATAAATACAATTTGAAGTGGCCAGTCTAGGTACTTCATCTTTCAGTCGAGGTAGCACCATCGGTCGTGAAGAGAATAAGACGTGTAGTTCGCCAGCATTAAAAGTTCTTTGAACTGATTTTCTTAATTTCTTCGTAATTATTTCACTTGGTATATCGCCCTTGAATTTCAGTCGTATATAAAGTGGCTTCTTGTTTACAGATAGCGAGTAGTCCTTTTCCGCTTTCTTTGTCATGTGTTTCTTGATAAATATTCCTTTTGTTGCTGAGATAATTTACTGTATAACATGTGTTATTATACGACCTGATAATGATATCGGTAAAAGTGGAGGAGTAACTCTTCGCTGAATGTCTTTTCTTTTATATGTAACTCATTTATTTCTTAGTTGATCCTTTTCTAATTCTTGCAAAGTCATGCATGATGCGATCCACTCTCTGTATTCCTTCCGTGTATTAGTTTTCTTTGTCATTTATCACCCCTCCTCCAGAGTTTGACATGTTGATATTGACTTATTATTGTGCCTGTTTAAAAGGAGCGCCATAATCGAACACTTCGTCAACACATACTGATCATTCCGCCATCTCAGCGAATGCCTCCCTCAGAGTAATCTACAAAATATGAAGAACAACGCGCCAAAGACAGCAAAAATACGCTTTTGTCTCCTCTGCACATTGCTGAAGCTTTGGCCATTCAGATAGAGGAAGAACCTGAGCTGGACTGGCATACCCAGAAGACAATTATGCGACCACTTTCTACTATTATGGTGACAACCTCAATGTTAATTTCTACTCACCTGATTTTCGTTCGTTTATTTTGCTAACTCCTTAGAACTCTTATATTCCTACATTTTTCTTCGTTTCTATGTGAAGATCCTGATCACAACTCATGCATTCATTATATTACTCATCTTACCACTTAACTTTAATACCATTACTTCTTCGACTTCTCTTCTGCATTGATTAACATTAACAATAATTCGTCATTTTTGCTAGTACCCACTTACATAAAAAAGAGATTGTATATAAATGTGGTTGTACAGCTCTTAAGAGGGGAGAATGAATTCGCTGAAAATGGCGGGAGCCTCTTCGCTGAGCCCCATCTCTTGTTTTCATTGCCATGGATGTGGATCTAATTGAAAAGGAAACATATTTATTTGCTCTCAGTCATTTTGTCCGCTAAATTCCCAAAAAACGGGGAATTTTTTCTATGCTCTTAATTACATTCTGCTTGGTCAGTCATTTTATATTTAGCAAAACATTATCCCATATCTTTACCGATTTCATTAAGCCATAGCTGGTTGTATGACAAAGGCGCATGTCAGGCGGGTGACCCACATCAGCGAACCCACAGAGGAGTGAAAAAAGACTGCTCATTATCACCCATGATGATATTCCTAATTGTGGTGTACTCGTTTATGCGGGATACTGTGGGCGGTGGGTGAGAAAATAGGAATACGTTGGGTAGATAAGAAGATTCTACAAGATCTGGATTTCGCGCGTGGATATGTCTATGTCTAATATCAAATAAGCTCAATGACTAACAGGTAAAAATGAACAAGTTGACAGAAGAGGCCAACTGGTAGCGAATACAGGATTTCAAGTGAATATAGGGAACATGAGGGCGATGAAGATAAACAACCAATAGCAACAATGATCATCAACAGGACAACTTTGAAAGAGGTTACTTCCTTCACTTATCTAGACAGCATCACAGGCAGCAGACATGGAAGAGGATATCAAAGCCAGAATCCGAAAGACAAGGTACACCTTCACCAATCTGAAATCCGTTCGGAAATCCGCGCTCGCCACAACATTAAGAAGTACAAGATTCGGATTTTGAACATTGATGTTAAGTCAGCCAGTTCTGCTATATGTGACAGAAACATGGCTAGAGCGTCACCAAACGCGTTTCCACTAGGCCGCTACTGCAGACTTTTATCAACAGCTGCCATCTCAGCTGGTCACATACTGAAGTCCAAAAGGAATTCGAAACAAGAAATTCTGGGAAGAAACTAACCTAATGGCCAATCAGTATGCAGAAGAAAATGGAGATGGATAAATTGGACGTACACTGAGCTGATGAGGCTGTCAAATGACATTGTACAGCAGCCATTCTATCGATCAAGTGGAACTCCAAAGGGATACTGGAAGTCAGGCATGTTACTCCGCGGGTGACATGAAGGAAGTTTTGTTGGAGGGGAGGAGATAACAGACAATGAGCAAACGTGAAACCAACCAGCTGAATAGGTCCACGCAGAATAGGACCAGGTGGAGATGTGCTCCAGCTGATGCCTTATGTTCCACCCGGAACCCAAAGGAACAAATGACGAATAGTAATCATAATAATAAATTGGTTTTAAAATAAAACTAAAACACGAAAGTGATTAAAAGTATATATGATGATGAAATGTTGACTTCAAACAATCACACATACACACACACACACGAAAGTCATCAGCAGTCATTGACGTGAAAAATGCATTCACTCTGTCATTGGTGTTTCAATTTGCTTTGTTTTTGATACTGCTGATGACCGTTCTGGTGGCATAGTTAAAGGGATTGGATAAAATTTATGCCATTGTGAGATACACTGATCTTTTGATGCGATCACATGTTCCCAGTGTTCAACTTCATCTTCACTTGTATTGAATTTACCTAGACGAGATACACACACAATAGAAAACAAATATATGAATATTTTTTATGTCCCTTAACAGTTAGTCGTTGGTTCAAATGTGGAATGCTTGCCAGACAACCTACCATGCAATATGCAAGTGATCCAGTGTTCGATTCCTGGACATAGACGCATTATACTTAACTTTGCCGCCCCACATCCGTCTGCTAGTAAGCCTAGTAAAGAGGGGGAAGGTTTGGGCGTATGCGAGGCTAGAGACTTTCACGATCTTAACGCGCTTGATGTACTCAGATGCATGAAATCAATAAAAGTTTGATACAGACTTAGTCCTGATTGTGTGTCTTCTGTTGTCCTCAGAAGTTGTGAACATATTCTGTATTATCCTTTGACTAACACTTTCAGGGCTTCTTTTTCTAGTGTTGTACCCCGGTGACCTTGGACAGGGAGGGATGATTAATAAACTCGTGGAGAAATCTAAAAGCTCACTTCAAATTGAAGTATGCGCTGAAGATGTCACCTAGTAGGGTGATGAAAGCTTCGCAAATTAACTATCCAGCTCAGAGAACACAACCACACCAAAATCATCCACCTGAGCTACAAATCTTCTCCATCATATCTACACCATATTGTTACTCAACTTATACATGTAGCTCATCATCTCATACAGCACTTTTTCCGTTGAATTCAAGCCTTTATTTCTTGTTTACACTTAAATCTTGTGTTTAAAAGAAATAGTAAGTGTAATTTCTGAGCAGTGTTTATTAACACCTTGATTGGACACCAGCTAGCAACTAATAGGTAATGTGTCTAGTTCTTTGTTTGGTGCAAACTCAATTCAATGGCATTCAAGTTTACACTGTAGTCACCACTCTAAGTGGTGGCTTGACATCACAATACACTGTGAATTGGTTGAAGGATTTCATCATGAGTTGGCATCAGTTAGAAAACCATTGAAAAACCAGCCATGGAGTACTCCACAGCTGTTTCGTCCTGGTTTGGGACTCTTCATCGTCAGGCGCCCGCCCAGGCTCGAACCCAGGACCTTACACTTGAGCGTAAACAATAAAAATGGCGGTCAGTTCTTCTATGTGGGTCATAAATTTGGACAGAGTATTACGAGAAGCATTTCCAACATGTAGCTGTTGCCTTTGTTGGCCCCATTCTGAAGATCAGATGGTCGGTCAGAAAGAAAAATTGGCCAGAAACTCTGCAAACAAACCAACCAAGAACCTAAAGCTCAACAAATATTTAGAGGAAAGTGGAGATGGATTGGACACACACGTCGGATGATTTCGCACTCCAGACCATCGGTGGAGTGTATTCCAAGTGGGAAATGACGACCTGAGAGTTGGTCTGAAGGTTGTCTGGTGGGAGATCTTCTTCTGAGGAGGAGAAGAAGGCTAATGAGTAATCCTGGGGACAGCTAGCCAGCTGAAGACGAGTGCAGAATACAGGAGAAATTGGCAACGGTCTGTTGGAGCTGTTTGTTCTACTCGGAACTCAAGAGAACAACAACAAAACGTCACCTCAGAGTTTTCATGTACTTCAGAGACTAGGTGCATTACATAAGGTATTTCCAATACTAATTTTCCTTCAGTGATCTGATACAGAGTATTAGTCAACCGGCTGACCAGAAAGGATCCGTGGCAAGGAACTCGATCAACTAATCAACCAAACAAGCAACCAGCCAAGAAGGTATTGCCCAAGGAATATGCAGAAGGAGTTAGAGTTAGGCGGATCAGTTGAACATACGCTCAGGAGATTGTTGAGTGACATCACACCTCAGACAGGACCCCTAACTCATGCAAACATTTGAACATAAATCGGAAGGATTATGTTAGATATATTTTATCTAATTCATTAATGAATTTTTATTTTTGATTACAGTTTGATGCCACACCGTATTTTCAGTACAAGTATGGAATTTTCAGCATGGATATCGGTAGCCCAAATTTTGCAGGCCGACCATAGATATCGGGTATGCGTCGGCAGGGGATCGAACCCCGGACCATGTGCATGGTCGGCGAGAATTCTAACCACTGTGCCATCGAATGGTGTGTCACAGTGGGCTTTTAGGCAAGCAATGGGGTTCACAACTATCCTGATAATACTCACCTATTTTACATGTTCCAATTGTTGCACCTTTTCTCCGGATTGGTCGTCTTCTCATCAATTTCACTTCCAGTGTTATCTGATCAATTTGATAATGTTTTATAGCAAAGGCAAATGTTTCATTCATGTGAATTGTTGACTGTTTTTCATGATATCCACTGTGGGTTTTAGCCAACTGTCCCTCCTCCTCAGTACGGATTACAATTTTGACATAAATACCTGTGAAAATGAATCAAATCCATAAAAACAAATCGAAGTCAGAAAAGCTGGATCAGTGATCCGTTCACTATGAGTATGTCGATCAAATAATAGTAATAATAAGTGTTAAATATTTTGCACGTCAGTAATAGAAATGATTATAATGATAACAAAATTATGGTATTAAGGTTTATGCAGGTGGCGATAAGAATAATGAAGGTAGTAATATGTGTATATGTAGACAATTCAATAAATAAATTGGGTCAAATCTTAAAAGTTACGTTATACTAACGGTGAAGTGGAGAGATAATCAGAGTTTAAATAAATATCATAAAAGTACGAAGGAAATGGAAAATAACAAAGGGTGGGAGGGAGGTTTCTTTTTAATTACAACCTACCTAGACCACTTCTATATGCATTTATAAATTTAGCAGCTTCTGCGGAAAAAGCTGGCCAATATAATGCGAACACCTAGACAGCTCAACAAACGTATCCACGAGCATCTTCCTTCATAGTTTGAAAAAGGATAATAAAGTCTATAAGAAGTTCTATTTCTCCTCATTTGATCGATGATAGAGGTCACAAAGTCGATAGAAGAAGAAGTGCCTTCAAAGTTATCTATCACACATTGCATCGAACGTTTTGAGCGGAATTCCACCCAGCCTTTGTACATATAGCCGAAGTTATGGGAATTCGAGAGAACAGTCCTAGTCTTCGCATACGAAAGAAGTTTGTGTTCTACTTTTATCTCTTCTTTGGCCAAGGTAAAGTATAATTAAAAACCTCCCACCCACCCTTTCTTATTCTCCATTTCTTTTGTACTTTTATGATGTTTACTTAAACTCTGATTACCTGTGCACTTCACCTTTAGTATTACGTAACTTTTAAGATTTGACCTAATTTATTTGTTGAACTGTTTACATAAACACACTGCCTTCGTTATTCTTATCGCCACCTGCATAAACCTTATTATCATTATTTTTGTTATCATTATAATCATCGTTATTACAGACGTGCAAAACATTTAACACTTATTAGTGTTAATATTATTATTAATATTTGATCCACAAGTTCACAGCCATTGATTAAATTCTGTTTTATATATAAAGCCGTATGAATTACAGTGAAGCCTAGAGAAGACCTAGTTGAAAACAACAATATCGTTCACTTATATATCTTCTTCTAATCTTACCAAGGGTAATATTTAATAATCAATGATTCGAGCGAGAAGTAAAAAATTGATTTTCAAAGATGGAATTGGCATCCGCCTAAAATCCACTAAAGAGGTCATATTTCACCGGCCACACTAATACCTGTGGGCGCAGTATCACCCAAGTCATAGGGTTTACCGGAGATTCACAAAAACGCTTTGCCACTTAGATCAGTCTTCGATATGTCTAGCTCACCATACCATTCAAATGCAAAGTGGCTGGTGGAACTTTTACAGCTGTTACATAAGAAACTTGTGCGAAATAGCGTAGAAGATAGTTTCCAGTTTGTAGAAATTATCAATGAATTAAGTGTGAAGAATAAATACATGATATCACTGGACACGTCTTCTTTATTCACCAGTGTGCCTTTGATGGAAACAATTGATTATACAGGTAATGAATTGATAAAGCAAGGCATATAGAATGGAATTACTGTGTCTTCCACAAAGGAACTTCCTTTAAGATCTACAATGGACGTAAATTTCCTGTTCAATAAAGAAATGTATAGACAATCAGATGATGTTGCCATGGGATCACCACTGGGCCCAATCCTAGCACATGTTTTTCTGGCGAAACTAGAGAATGGTCCTCTTAAAGATGTAATATATAATCTTGATTTCTATTGCCGATATGTTGATGATACATTTATAGTTATTAAGAAAGAAAGTGAGGCTAAGGACATATTGGATAAATTCAATAGAACAAATTTCGGCATAAGCTTCACTAAGGAAGAAGAAGAAAATGACTCTATCCGCTTTTTGGACATCCTAATGACTAAATGAACAGACGGAACAATATGTAGGCGTTTGTGTGGAAAACCTACTTCCGCTGGATAATACACTCACTTCTTGAGCTTCTTACCTCTACAATACAAAAGTTGTCTAGTTATATGTCTGATTTACCGGGCTGAAGTCATCTGTTCAAATGAGACGCTGAACGAAGAACTCAGTAATATTCGCGATCTACTAAGTAGAAACGGATATCCAACTAAATTCGTGAAGAAACACATGAACTCAGAAAGTAAAAAGTCGAAGTTGCCTACTGTCCGAAAAAAGTCAGTGTTCCTAAGGTTATAATTCACGGGTGATGTCGATAATGAGATCTTATCACAGCGTTTGAGGAGGGCCTTCAATAGGACTTTCAACGCAGCTACGTTATGCTGTATATTCAATACTCAGTTCAAGAAATAGAGACAAACTGCCCTACCTCGCCTCATTCATGTGAATTTACCAGTTTAACTGCTGCTGTGGAGGTAGCTACATTGGGCGTACAATCAGGCAAGTTCATCCTGGAATCGAGAATTGTACAAATATATTGATTGCCTATACGCCAATCAAGGAGTAAGAATTTACCGGGCTGATAAACGCTTACTAGTTGGCGCAGTGTTACAGTATACAATCAGTTTCCGCTATGGTATTTTGCATGACTGTTAATATATATATATATGTATATACATATACCAGTATTTATATTATAGTGGAGTACAAGAATATAGGAATACATTGGGCCGACTAGAAGACCCTAGAATGTTTAAACTTCACATGGATGATTTGTATTTAGTGTCGCACAAACTGGCAACAAGTAACTATGGAAACTGCCGCCCCTGTATCTAATAAACATATTACTTCCAGGCTGTTCACTGGCAACTTAAAATACGTAGCCCGCCTCTCAGTAGCTCCAACTACTTTTAGTCTTGTCGGAGATAAATAACACACATTATACTGCTTGAGATTTTTCCTTCTCCTTCTTTCTAGGCAGTACCTCCTCCAGTTTCCTGCTTTCCCACATTCAAAGAGTTGGTCTTTACTGGCGCACATTTGTAGCGCTGCCATTTCATCATCGTAAATTTCAATTTTCTGTTTCCATTCGTTTAATTTCGGTGACACTAATGTGGCTATCATTGTGCGCAACACCTGTCTGGTCACCTTTGCTAGTCCACCAATGTCCATGGGTCATGGAGCGTTATCTAGTTGTGGTTGCTGAGAAATGTCGTCTGAAACACTGTCAATGAACCAGGAAGTCCATAACTAAGATTCTGACTCTGCATCCAATATAGGGAGTGAGCGACGTAGATTCGTCGTGATAGATTCATTAACTTCACCGCCAATACTAACTGGTCTCCATCCAATCCTATCTTCGTGGCACGGAACTACTGTATTGCCAGCTGCTTGTCTGTTGGGCTGTCGAACTCTGTCACCAGTCGTTCAGTAAACACCTTCCAGGTCTCTTTCTCACCTGATCACTCCACACTATCGTAGGCCATCTTTACCCAACCTCTTGTCAGCGTCCCCAGCACAACCGCCTTCGCCTATAAACTCAGTGACGGCATCGAAGTCCCACAAAGAGCTGCTGGTGTCCCCTTCCTTGAAAGTAGCCTGCCGTGGAATCTTCATTATCTGGAGTCGGCGACGCCAAACGTGACGGGTTGTTTATTAGGCATTCAACATCCCTATTATATGGGGAAGTTATGTACAACCTGTATTTGAAAATCGTAATTTGCGCAGATATTCTCCTCTTGTGCTACTTCTTCCCTTCACATTGTGTTTTTGTTTGTCTTCTTTTCGTATCTTCCATGTTTTGTCGCAATACACTATTCGGTTCTTTTTCTCCCTCTTTGAAGTTAAAGATATCTTTGAATTATTGTGTGCGGATGAACGTCTCTTGATATATATATACTACTACTGGTAAATCTTGTCAGTAGCACACTGCACACATAACTGGTAAACAAGTATCCAGAAGAAAAAATGGAGATGGAGACGGTCACACACTGAGGAGGCCATTGAGGGACATGGCGCGACGCACCTTTGAGTGGAACCTCAATGACAAACAACGACTTGGGCGTCTGAATAGGACATAAATGAGATGAGTACTTGTAGGCAATTGTGGGGCCAGCTGAAGAGGACTGTAGGGAGCAGGATGCAGTTGAGATGTCCTGTTAATTCCCAGATGTTCCACCTAGAACCCAAGGGAATCATCAGTGTTCGCCTTATTCGTGTGCGAGGTCCCACAAACTTCACAGAAGTAAAAAATGTCTTTAAAAGTACAACAAAATTTCAGACAGTGAGATTTACTTCGCTTCGGTATTCTATTTCCAACTCGTAAATTCACGAGTGTAATTTGTTGTAGACAGCATTCTAGCCGACCAGTGTCTGGATTCAATCGGAGGGATAGTAGAACTTTTGGCAATGGCACGTTCAAAGTCGTAATATTTTCAGTCTCAGGACAAAGTGTGGGTCTGTCGACAGGTATGATTTGTAGATTCTCAGGTGCTTCGGAATCATCTGTTTCTTTTTGTACCTGAAAGATATAAAAAAAGGGGAGAGAGGAAAACTTTTGTTTGAATTAACATATTATATCATAATTTTACTACTGCTTTAAGTTCTACGTAAACTATATCGGGCTTCAGTGGCATACGTCCCATTCAACCATATTCTCCGAAGTCTTTATATACCCTACCTTCACGGTTACCAACCAACAATCAACTTGTTATGATATTTACAATTCAGGTTTCACTCAGAATCTGTTTGCCGTGTTATTTTTTAAAAATTTTTTTATTTTTGATTACAGCTTGATTCCACACCGTATTTTTGGTGCAGGTATGGAATTTTCAGCATGTGATATCGGTAGCCCAAATTTTGCAGGCCGACCATAGATATCAGGTGTGCATCGGCAGGGGGTCGAACCCCTGAGCATGTGCATGATCGGCGAGAGTCCTAACCACTGTGCCACCGACGCTTTCAACAGTCTCCTCAGAATGTATTGTATCCATCTCCATTTTCCTTCGGCATATTTCAATCTGAGGTCAGCTGCATCCTTTGCTGGTATCATGAGGGAGGTCAGATGGTCAACCAGGGTGAATTAGCAACGAAACCCTGAGAACGAACCGATCAAGGATCTGTTGCTGAACAAATATCTGGAAGAAAGTATAAATAAATGGACTGGGCACACATGCTGAAGAGACCGTCAAATAACATCACGCGCCAGTCAGACTATTACCCGAGCGCAACCTGAATGCGGAACGAGGAGTTCGACCTTTGGTTCGAAGGTGATGTGTATGTGATCGTGTGGCGAGGAAGAGATAAGGGACTGTGCACAATCGTGGGATCGGCCAGCCAGCTACAGAGGACCAATTATTCTCTAAACTATGACATTTCTTGATGAAATCGTGTAACCAATGAAATCCCTGCAAACCACCACCCGAATGAAATGAAATTCTTTAGAAATAGTTTTGATCGTGACTCAGTATTAGGGTAGTTTCATCTATAGACTTCATGGTAAAAATTAGCTTCGTAAATATATGTTTATTCATCCTACAGAAAGTTACCCATAAAAGCCGGTGATCGTCCGAGCATCACAGGAGCAGATTCCAATGATTCGTCTGTCTAGGTGGCGTCAAATCTGGTACCCTGCATTGATGAACTCGGCTTGAGAAACGGGTTGCTGGGTTCTTGATCCTTTTCATGATCTAGCTGGAATGCACTCCTGGTTGATGTTAATGATTATATACAACTACTCATCTCGGTCAGTCAGTAGTATATATACTTTTATGTAAATATTCTTGTATATAACATATCCAGTCGACTAATCATCGTATTTCATTCCATATGAGATAAGTAGTTTATTTCAAATATCACACAGAGATGGTGCAGTATTACCAACTGGATGTCGAGGTTTTGAGCATAAATTATTTCTGCTCATAATCACATCAATTTAGTCACATGGCTTCACAGTTTGTCTCATATATATTTTCTCTGTCTTTCTGTCTCCCTCTTCCCCTTGTTGTTCGTCACCACTTTCTACATTTTCCTTATGTGTATTGGGTCATTTGAATCAACATGCAAAGATTCAGTGAATAACCTCTCTCTCACTGTCTCGATCTAACTATAATACTTTCTGATACTTTCATCTTATCCCACTCACCTCGTATTGTGTGATTACATGCAAGTGAATGCAATACAGTTGTCAGGCTCTGTTTTTTCTCGGTTATTAAATTTAACAAGGTCAATCATTTTACGTCTAGCTAAATTTGTATTTTCCCGTGATAATCTAAATGACTCTTATTTAACAGTTCGCCCTATGACGTGGGTGACTTCACAGTCACTATTACATGGTATTTGGTAAATTATATGTGATTTTTATTAATTGGATCTTAATTGGGTCTTATCTCTGAGTGAACTGGTTGGTTGGCTGGTTTAAATGCCACCGCAACTAATTCCAACCTCATTGAGAAGAGAATCCTACGGAGTACGGCTTCTGATATTACCTCTTTATACGGCAGTACTAATACAAAGGCTTTGAATTCTATCCGATTTTCTTCGTTAATTTTGTCATTTCCATTAATAATCTTATTTTTTGTGTAAATTCAGAAATGTGTGCAGACTAATGGAAGTATATTCTAACCTAGTGACTAGATTTTTCACTTCTGTTTTTATACTTATTCATTCCTTTGTTTTCTGGGTGGAACACACAACTTCCTGGTTTCTGAAGTATCATTGGATGTGGTGTTGCCTGTTTCTACGAAGTGGGGTTGTTAGCCCTCTTATCAAGGCCCCCCATATTTCCTGTGTATACTAGTGGGTTAATCAAGTAACTAAGCGAGACTAAGGAGTGAGTCAACCGAAAACCAAATTCAGAAATCCTGAGGGGTTGGAGACTATTCCACCAATATGCCAATCTCAGATTCACACATTCGCGGATTATACTTGAGGAAGACTGTTGGATCTCTGTTGACTTGCTAGGTCCTAGTGCGGAGGAAATCTAAATCTGATTCTCGTTAGTAACTGATTACAGAACGACGCACCAGGTTGGTTATGAGGACAAATATTCGCCACTGATGACACTGTCTAGTGCCAGTTGCGCTAAAATCACCAACTGGTGGAAGTTTGAATTCATGCGACTGCCATTGAATTGGATTCAGGTGGCTGAATAGTGGTCAAAGAGTTCACCTTTTTGACCAGAAGGTGTCTTGAGTTTGAAATGATGAGGTTGTGGGCTTGTACTGATGAGGAGTTGCAGACTGGGCGGGACCAAACAGCTGTTCGTGGTTTTCAGTGGTTGTGTTCTAACTGACATCAACCCGTGATGATCAAATCAATCCCCCACGACAAACCAATTCATGAAAATTCAGAGTGATCGTTTAGACAAGTGACAGTTTATACCCTTTGAGCAATAGGTGACTCAGGTGGCCTAGTGGATATTGCTTTAGATTTTGAGACGACTAGGCTAATTGGTTCACGTGTCAATGAGAACGGCATAACTCACTCACTGACTCACTGGGAATACCTACACATTAGCTTGAAGAGTCTAGTTTAGGGTGAAACTCGTGTTGCAGTCATTCATGGACTGGTTTTTCTGGAGCCACCTAGCTTTTGGTACTGTGCAATTACAAGTATGATAAGAAATCTGACAGTCTCATTTTCTTAAGACACTGGCGCCTTCCCAAATTTGGTAAACACGATTATTCCCCTGTGAAACTGTAGGATTCAGCTATCCACAGATGTCCATATTTTTCTGTGTCCTTACATGTGTCATATTCTCAAATCTGAGGTGAAATTTCACTACACTTGGTAACCTTTGTAAACCGATATGAATTCAGATGGCATACATCGAATATGTGACCCAGTTGTGATAGGACGGCACTAGAGTTGAGTGATCACAGAGAAGATGGAGGTGGTGAAGACAATCAACCAACCAGCCAACACCAGGTATCAAAAATTGTCAACAAGGACATGTGGAAGAGGTCACGTCCTTTCCTTATCCGGCTAGTAAGTGTCGTCTCAGTCATAACGCGACAGCATGTGTGAGGATATTCAAACCAACCAGGATCGAAAACGCGAGTCATACGTTCATCACTCTGAAATCAGCTTGAAAATCTTCTCTAATCCACCTCAGCATAAAGAACAAGATTCGGATAATGTTCAACATCAATGCTAAGTCAGCCAGTTCTTCTATATGGGTCAGAAACTTGGCGCCATCGTCACAAGAAATATTTGCAATAAGCAAATTTCGGGGGCTGGAGTTGAGGGTAGTTTTTCGTTTCTAGTTTCAGCAGCACGATTAATCCATTCATAGAATGCTAAAATAAATTTACGTTGCTCACTAAAAATACTACCTAGGAAGACAATGACACCTTCGCAATTATACCAAAAGTAAATAGTTCAACAGACCGTTTTAAACTTTTGCATAAAATATTTAACCACTTAAATACTGAAATCAGTAGTGTAAGTCTAATTGTCAAAAATATTCTTACTTATATTTTAACAATGGACTTACCTTCAATAGAGCAAGAACAACAGTTTTGAAGAATACAAGATGTTACCAACATCGTTTATTTAGTTGGCTTCTCATCACCCGCCTACAGATTATCGAAACCATTAAGTTCAGGTACAGAAACGGTTTTAACATACTTATCCAGAGAGTTCCAGTGTAACCAACAAATCAATTTATGCATACTCTGGTAATGATAATAATAGTTACTTTGTTCAAAATAATAATAGTCATACAGAATAGCATTTTCAGTGTTACGAAATTAAGCGAAAGAGAGAGCAAACGTATTGAGTCACCAAGTAAGGCAAAGAAAGAACCACTTCTTTCTGGACATACACATAAGTAGAGTTTCAGGCGTTTGATGGAGACTGCTTCAGTAAATTTGAGCAAAATGGGGATATTTCGTCCATTTATAGTTTTAAAGGATATTCCGATGTCCGCCTCATGAACTGTACCAAGAAGACCCCCTGACAGTGGCACTAATTTGGGAGCATTTTTTCTCTTCAGAATTAGACTTTTTGTACAAGTTCTGTTCTCTCCCAATGTAACTACTCTGGCAGATACATGTATATTTGTAAACGTACAGCTAGAGTAGTTAACATTAGAAGCGCACCTATTGAATTTTGATTGCACCAAAAAGCATGCTGTCAGATAAATGGGAGCCAACTTTGCTGCAGGATAATAGGCTCTGGTTAGAGACGTATTCAATCTTCTAACGATTCTTTCTGCAATGTTATCAACTTCAAAATTGAGTTGAATGAAGACAGGCTTTGTTCCATTGTGTTTTGTTTGAAATTTGAGTCTTCACATCTTCCTCACTTGTCACCACTGTATGCATATACTAATTGGTATTTTAAACTTGAACTCTCTGGATAAATGTGTTAAAATTGTTTCTGTACCTCAACTTAACGGTTTCTTTAAGCTGTAAGCAAATGACTAGAAGCCATCTAAATAAATAATGATGATACGATTTTATTCTTCACAAACGCTTTTTCTTGCTTTATTCAAGTTCATAAAGCAGAATAAATGTATAAAAATTTCTCAACTTACTTTCGTTGATGGTAAGGGAGTCAGATATGCAGCATGCACATATTTCGGTTCAAAATGCAATGTGAGAACATTTTCTGTGTTCAGATTTAACTTTTCCATTGGCAAAATGGCGTTACCGTAGGGGAATTCTTTACCGACTCCATAATGTCCAATGATTGTACAAAGCAGTGTTGACTGATGTATCGAGACTGTGAGATGAGAAAATTGAATGAGAAGGATAGTGATGACTAACTTGAATGAACAGATCAAAATTATGGAAAAATAGTTCAAGATTCAATCATGATATGGATATTTATAGTTCTAGTTATTGGTGATAGCATTGTTTTTTTATGGCTGCTTAAATCTCTGTACTACGCCTAAACTAGAAAAAAATCAACACGTCATGAGAGCGAAGAAATATGCATTCCTTTTCAATCAGCAGTTCCTCATGATCGATTGGTTCTGCACTAATATGTAAATCGATTTTTACATGAAAATTTTATCAATCAAATGGTTATTTTAGTCCATGAGTTTTAGGTGTAGGAGGAGGGTGTGTGAAAATTATGAGGTTAAAAATCATCAAAACATAAATTAACTAATTGATTTGAATAAGGTATTAAGAAGACAAATTTCGCGAGATGATATCATTTCGTAGTTTCTTTACAACCGCTTTACAACTAACATGGTTAACAATAATAAAATAAAGTTCATGACAATTACTCAGTTAAAGAAAAAAACAAAAGTACATACTAATGACCAATCATATTTAGATAGGTCATGTAGTCCATGGTAGGCGAAGACTGAATTCTATTGTTTTTTGTACACGCAGTTTAGGCTGTATGTGATTATTCATGAAAAATTCCCATTCGACCATTAATAGACTGAAGACCAGTAGTTCAGCGAAGAGCCTCTTTTCGGCGAATTCATTTTCATAGCTGTACAATCGCAAATATATATGGTTGTTTTGTGTGTGTGTGTGTACATTAAATTTGTCAAACGAAAATACAATTAGTGAGTTCAGATGAATTGTATATTGATATAAGAGAATAGTAACAAAAGTGATGAGTTGTCACAAACGACTGTTAAAGAAGAGTTACGTAATAAAACGAGATTACAGTTATTAAGTTCAGGTGAATTAAGTGTTGATATAAGAGGGTAGTAACAAAAGAAAATTATTCAACCACTTCTACTCCCATAGTAACAACTGTGTTGATTTGACTTGACTTTTTTGTATGCTTATTTTTCTACTTACAACCCTTGTGTTATTACGTATATTTTGTTTCCATGTACACCCTGAGTGCAACTCTTTCATTAAACTATTCATTTTATTACGTAACTGACTGACTCTTCTCTGTACTGCAGAAGCCCATGCATCCTGTGCATCGAAAAGCCGAACCTATGTGAAAAAGAAACTAGTTCAATCCCTGCTACATTTGCCATATAACCATTTCTGTTTGACTCCTCAGTTTTCGTTTTCTTGTCTTTTCATCCCCTTAATTTTTGCTTTTTATCTTTAGTTATAACGAATAATTACTTCAATTTGTTTCCATGCTCGCCCCGTTCAAATCCGTGTTTTCACTGAAAATAAACCATTTTATAATCCTTCGCAGTTTTTTCTAACCGCATCGTAATCTAAATTCACACCTTCGAACTTTCATCATATCAAGTTGAAATATATTATAACCTTCAAGATCCCTTCATTACTATGTGAACTTGTCTATATAAATGCGATTGTCCAGCTCCTGTTTTGTGAATGAAATCACCGAAATTGATCAACATGTTTGCTGAACTTCTTCTAGTTCTTTTCTCTACCTCTAATGTCATGATGGGTATTTCTCACAACATAAATATGCAACAGTCATCCCACCAAATACAAGTTGAACTTACGCAAAGGGATTTTAAATATCCATTGTTCTAAAAATTCAGGATTTGGAGCTGTCCGTAGCTTACTCTTCCATTGGTGTTCACTATCCGGTAATATGCACAAATAAATCTTTATCAGAGGAAAACAGAAAACAGGTGAAACATTATTATTACTGTTATTATTAAGACACGAAATTGGTATACTATAGGTTCTGAGAAAGAGAGAGGTGCAACATAAAATCTCATAGTCTCTGTAAGGATTACGATATTTACTCTTAGACGCCCAAACTGAAAGAAAGGCTGTTTGTCTCAAGGAACCACTCCCCTCGCTATAAGGATAAAACCTGGGCACTGTGGTAGAGCATAATTCCACTATGGATAAAAAATTTTATTTTGAAAAAGTCACACCTTGATACGATTATGAGCAGGAATAAATTGTGCTCCAAACGTCTTCAGTAAGCACTACTGTATAACACTGTGTAAACTTACCAATATGAAATTTTATTCATAATTGAACTGTAGGAGCAGAAGGCAGGACACGGAAGCCAAAGTGTATATTTTCAATTGGTCAAACCACTGTTTATATCTATGCAGTTTACATTATTTAACCAATCACTGAACGTGGGATTTTGGTTTACATTAAACAACATGAAATAGAATGTCAAACAGAATGTTCGAATACATATACATTTTCTGTATCACACCACCACAGAACCACTCCCTTTTCTGAGACTCTGATTTGAATTTTAATCCACTAGGCAACGAATGGAGCAGCAGCAGGAGCAATTACTTTCCTATGCTTGCCGGTGATTGAAAGAATTTCGCATGCCATTTTGACCCACTCTGATTCTGGAGTCTAGGTACGTTATGATGGCATTATTATTATTCCCAAGGGTTCCGAATGGAACGTAGGACTTCAACAACATGCCTCCACTCCCTCCTATTTTGTGCTGCCCTCCTAAGCTGGGCACACGGTTACCCATAGTCTTTAGTGTCCTCCTTTTCACTACATGGTATCCTCCATGTCACCCTCGTTTCTCATTCGGGTTCCACTCGAGTAATGGCCTAGGTGACGCCCAATTTCATTCGACGATGTCACCTACGTGTACCCAATCCATTCATCTATATTTTCTGTTACATATTTTTTGAGAGATAGGTTCTTGTTTAGTTTGTACTCACAGTTTCTTGTCGCTAATTTGCGTCGGTGGCATAGCGGTTAGGACGCTCGCCGACCATGCACATGGTCCGTGGCTCGATTCCCGGCCGACGCACTCCTTTACCTCGCTAAGCCAGAAATAATGCTGGTGAGGAGGAAAAGGTTGGGCATGAGGCTAGCAACCCCATCCTGTAAAAATAAACGCTGCTACAGAAACTTCAAGTTATTAGCTTGAAGCCCTATGTTCCACTGAGGAACGTGAGGGAAAAAAAGAAAAAAAGAAAAGAATTTGATTTTCAATAAAGAGCCGGAGAATGTGGCATCTGTTGATAGAAGTCTGTAATAGTCTGCTGGGAATGCTTTTCTTGACGCACAGTGCACGTCTCTGACCCATATAATAGAAGAACTGACTCACTGACTTAAATATGATGTTGAAAGTTCGAAATCTTGTTATGAATGCAAATAATTTCCAAATCGGCTTCAGGGTAATGAAGACATTCTGCCTTGTCTTTCCGATGGATGGCTGACTTTGATATCTTCATATGTCCCACTGGTAGCAGTTGAAACGATATATCCTAGCCGTATAAGTGAAGGAAGTTACCTCTTTCGAATTCAACCCGTTGATGGTGATCGCTGCCGGTTGTCGTTGATTGGTTGGTTGGTTGGTTGGTTATCTTCATCACCTCCATCTTTCAAATGTTCATTCAAAGTCCTGTCTTCACTGCCAGGTTGTTGGCTTTTGCCTGTCAGTCTTCGTGTTTCTGTGGCATGAGGAAGAACTCATCCATGAAAGAAATCCAGATCTTCTAGAATCTTTCTTATCAGTCCAGTGTATTACTACCTTCTTGCTTCCCACACATGGTGTGACGCATAATCCAGTCCACCATAATAAGAAATATCATGGCTAGGGATGATAGACAGCCAATCTCGTCTTACTCATGTCTTCACTCATTTCAAAGGCAGGCTTCTATGAGTTTTCTGCAGTAGACTACCTGAAACCTACCACTGTCATATGGTCAGCTATGGATGGATGAGGTTGATAAAGATATGACGCAAGCCATAGTGTTGAAGTAGTTTCTAAATTACTGTTAGAATATCTGCAACTATGCCTATGGTAAGACTGTTATGCTGGAGTATGCCAGGTTTATTGGCAAGCTTATTTCAGAGGCTTTGTGATGACATCACAAAAACTGGTTACTTACAGTGGAAAGCTCACTGAAGCTTCTGAAGTGAAGGCAGGAGAGTAGGACGAGAGTGACTGCCATCGACAATAACAATAATCTGCTTTATTCCGAAAAACAGAAATTATGATACAGTGTAGAGTTCTCAGCATTTGGTACAATGTTGTATCTAATTTACTTGACAACACCGAAAACTAATATAAAAGTTATATTACACGACTAATAATGTTAGCAGTGACAATAAAATCAACAATATTCGAAAAGTGTAAAATAATGATAATAATAATAAAGTTAATAGCTAAAATTACAAGTTAATTGAAACAGTGTCACCATAGATTATAAATAGAGGAAGATCAAAGAGCCGATGATTTTTCTAAATACATAGTAAATTATTATAAGTTTCACGCTTATTACTTTCTCTGTCACATAGAACACGGACGGGTGGGCACGCCAGATTGGGTATCGATGAATTTTGGAGTCAGGCAAAGTTTATTTAACAAAAACGGCATCTGGTTACAGAGTCAAAACCAAATATATGGTCAGTGAAAGGCACAGCGGACATATTTTTTCCCTTTGTCCAAGGATGAGACAATATTATACGATGTAAGACAGCAGTAGCATCCAAATTACTTCTGTCCCGTTAATAAACAAATGAAACACTGGGCTGAACACTTCAAAAGACTTCTAAATAGACCGCCTCCTACAACCCACACAATAATTCCAATGGCGGAAGCAGAACTACCAGTGGAAATCAACCCTCTGACGAAAAGAGAAATCTTGAAGGCAATCAAGATGCTAAGAGCTGGAGAAGCAGCAGGATCAGACGGAATCTCAGCAGAAGCATTGAAAATGAACCCAGAGACATCAGCGAACTTGATGACACCACTACTGGAGAAGGATTGGAAAGAGAGTAAGGTACCTGCGGATTGGAGGAAACGCTACTTATTCAAACTGCCAAAGAAAGAAGACTTAGGTCAATGCAAGAACTGGTGCGGCATTATGCTTTATCCCGAGCAAAATACTAGGCCGCATCATTCTGGAGAGAATCAGACACGCCCTGGATGAAAACCTTCGACCGGAACAGGCTGGATTCAGGAGAAACAAATCATGCATCGATCAAATCGCAGCACTGCGCATCATCACTGAACAGAGCTTGGAATAGCAGTCAGTCAGCTCTCCATCTCAACTACATCGACTTTGAAAAGGCTTTCGACGGCGTCGATCGAGAGATTATTCGGAAACTACTTCGCTACTACGGAGTGCCGACAACAACTACACATCTCATCCAACAGTTGTACGACAATGCTGCATGTCGAGTAATCCACAACAGGAAGCTCATGGAATCCTCCAAAGTGAAGACGGGAGTAAGACAAGGCTGGCTGGTTGCCTACTATCTCCAATGATTTTCCAGATTGCGGTAGACGGGATAATGTGACAGAGAGTGGGTAACGAGGAAACGGGCATAAAATGGACCCACGCAAAAAACTTGGAGGATCTGAACTTCGCCGATAATATATGTCTGATTTCCCACAAACTGGAAGACATGCAACTGAAAGGCAAAAAGTTGACAGAAAAAGCATCAAAGATAGTACATTTAGGTGAATATAGGGAAAACAGAGGTGGTGAAGATTCCCGGCCAACAAAAACAACTACGGCAACAACAACAATAGGCAAAAATTAGGATAAATAGGAGAAATCTGAAAGAAGCATCCCCCTTTACCTACCACCTGGGATGCATCGTTTCAACTACAGGCGGATGGAACTGATGAGGATATCAAAGCGAGAATCAGTAAAGCAAGGCAAGCTTTCATTACTCTCAAGTCAGTGTGGAAGTAAACAGCACTGATCATGAAAAATAAGATCCAGATTTTCAACTTCAGTGTGAAGTCAGTGCTGCTGGATCATAGACTTGGCGCCGCGTTACGAAGGGCACTTCGAACAAACTACAGATCTTCATCAACAGCTGTCTTCACTCAATACTACACAAGATCAGATGGCCAGCCAGAAGCGATCAGCAGCAGGAATCTCTGGCAATGAGCGAACCAACCCAGCAGGAACCAACTGTACAACAAATATGCAGGAAGATATGGAGGTGGATTGGTCATACTCTGAGAAAACTATCAAGTGAATCACATGCCAGGCTCTCGAGTGGAACCCGAACTGGAAGCAGCGAGTTGGTGGGAGGGTGACATGAAGGAGGTCTTGTGAAGAGGAGATGAAAGCATGTGAGCAGACGTTGAGCCAGGTGAAAACGTTGGCGGATAACCGAACTCAATGGATGCATGCGGCTGAAGCCTTATGCTCTTCTATGAATTAAAGGAAACAATAATAAGTGATGTTGAAACAATGATATCAATGATATTTCTATGGAATGGAGCATGCGTGGGTGAGTGATAAGACAGATATACAACCTATCGGCAGTGAAACCTCCAAACAAACAGTACTTTGTAGATGATTTATGTCTAATTTCACAAAAACTGGAAGGTCCACAGAGGAAACCTAACACTTTGAAAAAATGTGTCATGATGGAGTGATTCTGAATTGTAGAGTTCATCTAAACTGACTACAGCATCCCTTCAGACACGGCACTACAACCAGCCAATTATTTGGCGCGGGAGTCAGATTCAAATGTGACGGCGCTTTCTAGAAAAATAATTATCTGTGTATCGTACTAGTAAAAAACCTCAGAAAGTCAAGCCATGAATAAGAGAATCAAAGAAAAACATTTGCACAACCAGTGTTGTATGTATATAAATCATGGCTTTACACGGCTAATTGCAGAGCTTGTGCGTTCTACCAAAATAGGAAGCGAAGAGGGGAATTAAGGTGAACACAGAGAAAATGGAAATGATGAAGGTGCTCTCAACACAGAAAAACAAATACCAGTCTTAAATAAGCCTTCTGCTTCACTTTGTCCGTGGGTTTGAGCGTGATATCAAGCAGACCATTTTGTGGAGAGGAAAGGCAGGCATTCGTGGAGGCGGCTTTGAATGACCACAGGGAAGAGAACATATGGCTGATGTTAGTGAATCTATGGTTAAATGTTCCATCCCTAACAAACAGACTCAGTGATTTAGTGACGCAATGAATATTCATTGAACCATTTATCTGAATCATTTTGATCTAGATCATGCATCGTGCGTCAGTGGAACAGTGGTTAGGACTCTCGCCGACCATGCACATGGTCCGGAGTTCGATACCCTGCCAACGCACACCCAATATCTATGGTCGGTCTGCATAATTTGGGCTACCGATATCCATGCTGAAAATTCCATACTTGTACTGAAAATACGGTGTGGCATCAAGCTGTAATCAAAATAAAGTAAAATAAAAATAAAAATAAAAAATAGTGTTCAATCAATTATGCTTTGAAATCTTTTCAGTATGGTCAGGTATACCTGCGACGACTCAGGCAAGTTTGCATGAAAAATGAGTATCCTTCAAAATTTATGGAGAAACGAAATTAAAGTAAAGCGAAAGCCCCGAGGAATTTAGATGATATCGATGAAACTGCTATTCAAGAAAGTTGAAGTCAAAGGTAATACTGCATCTGAGATCCAGAAGAACCATTTATCCAGCCAGATCACTGAGAAAAACCTTCTTTTCAGCTGAGACACGGATCAATTTTTACAGTTCACAACTGATCAATAGATGCGTAAAGGCTAAGTTGTCACTTTAGATGGGTCATTTCATTATATGTTTGTCAATTCTCTTGTTCCTGTGGAGTCAGTTAAATGTGATTGGTTGGAGGATTTCATCAGTTCTATTCGCCGCATAGACAGAACACTCTCCAAACGCATCTCTGAACAGTGTATGGCATGGTTAGCGAAAAGACAGTTCAGAACATTTAGTAGTTCAATCCTCTAGCACTTGATGAAATCAGGCCATGCGGCTCCACAAGAGTCGTCTTTTAACATTATCTACAAGGTGAGAACGGATGGTACAGTTGGTATCAGGTTTCGGGATTTGTGTATGAAGGAGGCGATTCGTCAATACAATCCCAAACTCTGCATACAGAAAATTTTGGTCCAGTGTCTTATTCTACGACGGTCTCAATCTCTTCATCACTAATCGTTCGCTGTAATTTTTCATTTATGTTTTTAATGATTGCTTTTATTTTAACAATTAATTCACTATTATCACTCTCACATGTTTCTTTCGTGCATTTTCTCACCATCTCCACACCTGATAAATGGACACTGATCTCTTCCCACTCAATATTAATTCAAACCTTATCGAATTTCTTACCTTTCCTTCCCTTGTGCCACTGAGTATTATGTAATTTATAACTTTTGAAGCGACTTCCGGGTAATTATATCAATTATGTCACACACACGTTACTACTCAGCAGTGGACTCCTATAAATGCTTTAGTAAACACAAATACGACTGTATAGCCTTTGAAGATGATTTCGTCGATAAAGAAAAGTTCCTTCGCTGAACTGTCCTTTATTTTCTTCATGACTGAATGAGTATTTTCGATGACAGACCAAACTTTCGCATTGTTTATTCATACTACTCACAAATAGTATCCTTCATTACAAACAAAAGGTTAGTGAAAGTTTGGGCAAACACCACCTACCTGATAGGCTGGAGGTCCACCAGAATCGGCGCTTGGGATATCATTCGCTCGGATGACATTCACTTGCATTTCTTGGTCAGCTTCACTGTAAGAAATTGCCAACTGAAGGCGGCTTGAATACTGGAATGTGCATATGAAAAGTAAATTTGTACAATTTATTTTGGTTACCATGGCCTTGATTTAACTTTGTAATTCAGAAATGAAATCTTTGTTATCCTTCTTTATTCTTTGTCCCACTTTTGTTATATATTGTTTAACTTTATGTTACTATATTTCAACACTTTGTTCAGTCTACTACTATTTTAACAACATTTCACTCATCTTATGTCGTCTCCGTCATATAATATTCACATATTCTCATTGGGGATTATTAATTTAACTGAAATGTAAAAATCGTTATCTCAGGTTTCCCGGCATCATCCATAAACGACTTGCTATGGCTGAAGGCAGTTACACTTCTGCATTGTTGTCTCATGTGGTGGCCATAGGGCAACCGAATCCCCCAAATGAGTTTACCTTTCCATTACTACCTTCCTGGGGTGTGTGCAGTCTCTCCTCAGAAAAGTGAAAGGGATTATGCTGAGGATTAGAGGTAGAGATTTAAGATTATAAACGTCTGGTGTGTACATGGGATAGGAATCGACTTAAAATACTAATCAGCGTGTGAATCATAGTGTCAGTGGATGACTGTAAACGTTCAACCTCTTATTTTCTTACCTTGGTCCTGGTCCACTCGTCAACCAATTAGAATATTAACATTTCGCCGACCCAGCCAAACCACCTACGATCAGAGCAATCTATATTCCACTGCCATGGTCCGATTTTAATATGGTTAACAGTCACAGACCAGTCTTTGTCTTATCCATATTTACGTGGCTCAGTGAAGTGGGAGGCACTAGCGACGAGTAGGCGTATTTAGCACATCAATTGAGTTGCTAATTCAGTCATTATTACTATGCCATGGCAAACTGGGAACGAGTTCATTTCAACTGGAGGCATGAATAGTAACACATGATGAGTAGTTGTATTCGAATACTCATATCGATCAACCAGTAGTATATGCCACAATTATAAAAATATATATAGATGCAAGCTCTGGACTATGAAATTTCAACAGTAGTGGTTTATTCTCTTTCTTTGTATGCGATGAGTGGGATTAATAGCACCAGGTAGGCGAATCGTCAATCATTTCAGGTCTGACTGCCGATTAGGTGGTGAGGCTTAAAAATGCGTCGTCAGCCAGGATCTGAATCTGTCGGACTATTCTACCACTACAATTGAAAATTGATCTGATGCTCACTAGGGACTTGGTGACTACGAGAGAAGACGAATTTGACTGACGTTGCCTAGTAAGAAGTCGCGACTAGTTTGGAGTCCACTTAGTCAGTTGTCGGAAGGGAGGACAAGAACTTGCCACCCTTGACACTGGCTTCCGGTGGAAGTCACGCTAGTATCATTACGAATTGGTTGGTGTGAGGGTAACTGTTCATAGGCTGGTCATTGAATCGGGCGGATCCCAAGTGGCCACTGAATGGTCCACGAGCTTTCCATGTTGCAAAAGGAAGGTGTCCTGGATTCAAGTCCCTGTGGTGAGGATAGTAATGGTAGATAATTTCAAACTAAGGTGACAAAACAGCCGAAGTCCAGTACTCCCTTGCCAACTGGTTCTCAATGGTTCTCTAAGTGATATCAATCCCTAGTCAAACTGGAAATAAATCGAGTCTGTACAACAAACTAATTGTTGAACATTAACATGGTGCTCGCTAGTGACAGCTTGAATACTGGAGGACGAAGTTGTCTGCGGTTGCCTGGTGAGAGATGTTGTGGCCAGTGGCAGCCTCGCGAAAATCATCAATTAGATAGAAGTAGGAGTTCATGTGGAGGCCACTTGATCCCTCTCGTTCTTTCTCAGTGGCTGAATGATTGTGTACGAGCTCTCTGTGTTGTAGCCTCGAGGTGATGGATTTTTTGCCCCAAAGCGTTACACACTGATGAAGAATCACAAGACTATGACGACACATTTACAAATGAACCCCTAAAAAAAAGATAAAATTGGCGACTAACCGGTAAAATAAATGACTGAATATCATCGTCATCATCGTGATCATAACCACAATCATGGTGATCATCTCCACTTAAAATATCTTGCTTGTCTTCACCAGAATAATACCCCTCTCCACCGTCTGAATCCTCATCCATCGAGTCTACTTCACTTGTCATTCTTTTTAGTTCGGCAGCATATTCTTCCAAAGGTAAAATTTTCGGCTTTCCATCATCAATGACATCTGTTGACGACGCATTCTTCGCCTTTTTATTCAATTTTGTATTCTGTTTTGTGTTCTGTAAACTGTCAGAACTTGAATCGCTAATATCGTCTGCTGCTGGTAAGGGAAAAAAATGAAAAAAAAGATAGGAAAAAGGAGATGGAAATACTTCTATTGTGCAGGTGGGATAATTCAATAAATGCCGTCAGGAAATCTACAAAGCAGTTAGCCGTGAAAAAAACTAGCACTGTGTTTACAGGTATTGAATTCAGAATATAGAAATACGCACACACACACACACACACACCATAAAACAGCAATCTGAGTGTTAAAGAGAGGGTTTAAGGTTTGCAGAGTCATTTAACAAATACAAATCCCACTTCATTCAGATAAAAGTATCCATTTAGTGCCTGTCCGGGGTTATATTTTATGCTGAAATACACATATAAGTAGCAAATTTAGTAGAGTAGAATTTTCGGTGTAGCAGTATGACGTGCCCGAAATTCTTATCAACCTAATGCAACAGTTGGTCACATGACAGCGGCAAATGTCAGGTTATCAGCAACGGAAAACTCACTGGAGTATTTAAAGTTAATGAAGACACGAGTGAGACAAGGCTGCTGCCCATTATCACCAACGATGATATTCCTAATTGTGGTGGAATGGATTATGCGTCAGATCGCGTAGGAAGCGAGAAGACAATATTATTATCCTGGACAGATAAGAAAGACTCTAGAAGATCCGGATTCCGGGTGAATGATTTGTGTTTAATGTCACAGAAACTCAGAGATGTAAAGGTGAAGAAAAATAAGTTGGGAGAATTGGGTTGGAAGCGAAGACAGGACTTCAAGTGAACATTTTGAAGACAGAGGTGATGAACGTAACCAGCCAACCAACCAAAGACAACCAGCAGCGATTACCATAAACGCGGGGAAACATCTTTTCAACTACAACCAGTGGGACGGATGAAGATATCAAAGTCAGCCATCCATCGGAAAGACAAAGCAGATATCCATTACCCTGAATTTAATTTACAAATCTTCCACGCTCACGAGAAAGAACAAGATTTGGATTTTCAATATCATTGTTAAGTCAGTCAGTCAGACAGTTCTTCTATTATATGGGTCAGAGATGTGCAGTGCGCGTCATGGAAAGCATTCCCAGCAGACTATTACAGATATCTATCAACGGATGACGAGCCCGAATAGCTCAGTGGTAAAGTTTCTAACTGCAGCACTGGGTGACGTGGGTTCGAATCCTAGAAGGGACATGAGTTCTTTCAATGTGGTTGCAGATACGCCTTGCTGACGAATGCCAACTAGCGCGAAACCTAGTGGTAAGATTTCATGCTGATTGCCTCCAACCACCTAATAGTGCGTTGGTGGCATAGCGGTTAGGACGCTCGCCGACCATGCACATGGTCCGGGGTTCGATCCCCGGCCGACGCACTTCTTTACCTCGCTAAGCCAGAAATAATGCTGGTTAAGAGGAAAGCTTGGGCATGAGGCTAGCAATACCATCCGGTAAAATAGACCCTGCTACAGAAACTTCAAGCCACTAGCTTGAATCCCTATGTTCCACTGGGGAACGTGAAGGAAAAAATAAACGGATGACAACACAAACAACAGAGAATCTAAATTATCAGTAGTAGTATAAAGAAGCAAAGAACCTCAGTAACCCTATACAGAATTCTTAACAAGACAGTAATTAAATTAGGTGGTATTCAAACTCACAAACTGAATTAGAAACAACGTATCTCTGTTAAGGGCTGGATCCTGTAGAGCCCGTTATACATAACAGTCTCGTTCATCTAAAACCCTGTATGAATCATTGTATATCACGTCAAAGTACTTGAACGATGTCAGTCAGATTAGCGGAGCACAAAACCTAGCAACCTTTGGATTAGTTGACCCTAATGTGATAAGAAATCTGGAGAACTTCTTTAGCTATAGCACCCACTAGATGCAATTACACACAACCACACAATAGGAAAAGATAAGATGATAGTTCTAAAATCAAATACAACAGGGTGTAGGTAGAGATTTGGTGAGTGAAGCGTGAATACTATTTCATTTCATTTCACATTAACTCATTACGAATTGGAGATGGATATACAGATGATAAGATTTTCAGGAACCTGTTAATGGATCTCATAACCTGGAATTATTGGTGTCAATAACTTGTGAGGTCGTTGGTACAACTGTTGAAGAGTAAAAAATGTGGGAAAAAATCGCTGAATCACTTACTAACAAATGTGTCGGTTCATGACCAAATTCAACAAAACAAATTACCGTTATCACTATTATTATTATTATTATTATTACTTATCTAATTCCTCACAAATCTCCTATTCTGACTACATGTATTTCTTCACCAATCGATTTCTCTTTCTCTTCTCTAAATGTCTAAATTTGAAAGTATTTTAAATTGAACACAATTCACACAATCAATAATCTGAGCGATGTTCACAATCGGAAAAATATTCTCCACTAGGCATTTAACTTGCTTTTCACTTGATTCTTTAGTGAAAGACATAAGAAATGTCAGCCTGACTTTCATCGATTTCTGTTATTTTTTTTGACTGAGTAGTCATCACTTCAAGGTTATTCACACTGACTGGTGAATCATTATAAAATTGAATGAATTCAACAATTTGTTCATTTCGCAAACAGACTATGCTACAGTTCACTTCTCTTGGTGTCTGGTGTGTTCTGATTCTACCTCTCCTTTCCAGTCAAGGATGTTCTGGTATTATAATATCGAATCCAGTGTATCGAAGCCGCTCATCAAATAAAGTTGACGCACTACACGAGAATGAATGGCGTGAGATTCCTGAATCATCTGTGAGTGTGCTTGGTACGGTGAGAAATAATACACTGTCTGGTCAAGACGTGTTGCGTACACCTGTCATGAATACGATTCTTAGTCCGACTGGATTTCAATTTGTTGGAAAAGATGACGGAACCTCATTGTATTCTGCACCTCAGAATAAAGCCTCATCACAGACACAGAGACAACCACAATCTCAGCCAATCTCCACGGGGATTACACGGGAGGCATTAGAGAAATTCGCTGGTAATTTAGATGACTCTGACAGTAGTCATTTCAAAAACAGTCCATCGGTGAATCAACAAGTGAGTCGTGAACAATATCCCATCTGGAATCCGCAGACACAAATTGATCTTTATCGTGGTCGACAAGCTGTATTAACATCAGCAGCAGAACAACATCCACCACCAGCAGTGAGAACTCCCTCACTGCTCACACCACATGCCACAGGTGTACCATATCAAAATCTGAGGGATCTGTTTTATCCAAAATATACAACAGGTCTGAATACACCGTTTGAACAGGATACTCATTGGCGAAGAACCCCACTACTTTTACTGCCATCATCAAATATGCTTCAGTATAACAGACTGTCTACGGAATATCCATTGAACTCGCGAATTCGAGGTACTCTATCTCAATCAAGCTTGATTTTCGGACAACAACCTCACGTTATTTTTGTAAGACAGTATATGCAGTCCAATCAACCTCAGCGCTTCAATGAGCCGGGAGTGAGGGCGAATTTACAACCATATGGACAAGTGGTGACGCCACAAAATAACACGAGAGATCCTAGACTTTTTTTGAACGTAAGTCGCAATGATGTAATAGGAAGATTATTTGGGTAACTTGATTGTGTAAGCCATTTTAGAAGGTTAAACTGAATGAGGTAATAAAAATGTTTTGATGTGACATATGGCCTTTTTTCATCAGTTTCGTGGAGTTTCACAACCAGAAATTGCGGCACTTTGTTGTTGTTGTTGTTGCTGTTATTAGTATTATTAGTATTCGTGAAGAAGCTGGCGATTTCGAATACATAGAAGAGGCCTGAAAATGGAGAGTGCTTTCGTTATTAGAGTTCATGAGATTTTGTCGAACATATGTACACAGGTTTGGCTTATCTTGAGGTGAACTACGATGGCTTCAGCCAGGTATATGTCAAAGAGGAATTTGTAAGGTTAAATAGGTAACGGATAACTTCAAATGCCTTGTTAAGACATCGAGTTAACTTTGAGGATTTACGATGGGTGAGAGGCAAGCCAGAGAGCTAAGAGGAGATGCTGTCTGTCTCTGTCTGAATAATCGCTCCATGCAGGTTACAGAGTGTTTGCAGAAATGAGATAATGAACATATCTAAAATAATAGCCCCGATACGTATAACTGCCTTCACAGGAACAGTAAGGTCGTGGTAGATCCACATTGTTGAGGATGACGCGATATTAGGTAGTCTACCTTTTACCCCATAATCAAGTTGTAATACTGACTTTCAATGCTCTGAATGTAAGGATCGAATTTTGAGATAGTTGTGATTACCTTGACGTGAGTGCGGTGAAGCAGATGTGTTTGAGATGCGATGTATTTATCTGTGCTCACATTTAGGACAGTTGTCTATTCTCGAGGTGATTTGGTGCCTGATAGCGTGTATTCTGACTGTCGTTTCATGCTTGTAAGCAGTCAGTAGGAGGATGCACCTTGTAACAAGCGTTGTTCATGGAAGTTACCATGAAGTTATCAATGTAAGTTGTAAATGTGGATCAGTTTTAAATTCCACGCCATCGAGGAAATCTAGGTTTGCAGTGGAGATTGACTGATTGATTGATTTCGGATTTAATGACCATCAATGAATTTGATACATGTATATATACATGCGTCGCATAAGTACAAATAATGCAACTGTAGTTTAGGTGAATAACCGAGAGACTTGAGGAATCAGCGATGAATAATTCCCATCCAGACATCATTGATAAAAATAAAACATGTAGTTCAGCGAAGTGTTCCTCCATCTCTGCTTTCTGCGAGTTCATTTCTCCCTCCTTCGCTTTAAGTGCGAATTTATGTATAATCAATTTTCAATAAGAGAGGGTAGTAGCGACATTGATGATTTATTGTCGTCGTTCACCGTAACACTCAATGCGAACTCGTTGGCGACCAGTAGGCTAATAGGACGGAGGAATTCAATCCTGGGTTACTTTTAACAGGGAGTCAATGGTTCTACATCTGATGTCAGTTTTTGGTCAATTCTGACTGATTTCCATCCAGTGGTTATACATTTAAGGTATCTCTAGTAAGCGACATGAAAACACATCATCGCTGCCAATCTAAATTAAAGAGAACTGTTTATTTAGGCTTGATTATATGAGATGAGAGTGAATTCCTTTGGACTATTTCACTAACATTCCTGGGATTAACTGTTTGCACTCTGATGCTATTAAGACTTGTCGTCCTCTTGTTGAGTGTTATGCTTTTCGTTATGTCCAGGTTCTTATTTCCAGAGTGTCGTGATGCGTATTTTCATGATTCCCTTGAATTCCGAGTGGAATATAGGTTCTCAAGTAGGGAACATCTCCATTTCAGCCTGTTCTCATTTACAGAACACGATCTCCTCCCCTAGCGTCCCTCACACTTCGACCTACGCCAAAGTCGTCCTGCCCTCATTCCGGTCTTTCTCAACGGCCTTCCAGATAGGCGTACGACGTCACTCTCAACAGTCTCCTAAGGGTATTTCTTATCCATCCATCCATCCATTCACACATACATCTTCACTTTTGTCGTCGGAATATTTACTGAGTAGACAACAGTTTCCTTATTGTTCCGTTCGCTGGAGGAGTTGGTAATCCTTTCTGTCCAGCCGACTGTCTGATCTTAATTATTCCACAGCAGATTTCTTAGGCAGTTGGAAGTGGTGACTGGCCGGCTAACTGACTGACTGACTGACTTAACATTGGTGTTCACAATGTGAATCTAGAAATGAGGGGTCCCACTGATGGATAAATTTCTAGTTGCATTTCATGTGAGTAGTGTAGTTGACGTTATCTTTCAGAGATGATGGTCAACCATTATTTGTTTATGAAAGAACAGAGGTTCAACGAGGATAGTTAATCCCTCATTTTCACCGTTATCATTACCAAGCTGCACAATCGCAATTTATGTATGTGCACATAGTGCATTTTCATACCCCAACAAAGTGGAATATTTCCAAAGACATGTGGCACTACACGTTTTATTGGAAGACAATATTTACGTGATAGAGAAAGGATTTGTGGAAGGTTGAATCTAAAATAGAATTAAATAAGTAAATTGTGTGCCGTGATGTTACAAGATAATTGATTGACTTGACGAGAAGTCCAAATAAAACTGAAACACAGTCAGTCAACTTGATACATACCTACGTATATATGTATATATGCGTCACATAAGTTCAAGGAATGCAACAGTACTGTAGACGAATAAATGAGAGACTTAAAGAAACAGCGATGAATAATCTCCATCCAGACATTATTTAGATGAAAACAAAACACTTAGTTCAACGAAGTTTCCCTCTACCTCTGCTTCCTGCGAGTTCATTTCCCCCCTACGCCTTAGCTGTAAGTGTGAATTTATGTATAATCTATTTTCGATTAGAGAGGGTACTCGCAAAATTGATATATCTTTGTCATAATGCAAGTTGTTGGCATTGGTGTATTTGTAAGATGAGGGCAGTTCTGTATATAGGTGGATAATTTAACAATCAAGTGAGTTGTAATCATGGATCGAAAGACAAAAGAAAGAGAAAATGGAATTAATTAGGAGTACTAAGGAGCCAGAGAAACGAAGCAACAAGCGAAAATCGAGTCAGTCGAAGTTGACAACATCCTTGCTACCATGAGAGTAGAAGTGGTCGAATTATTTGCTTACGTATGCACAGGTCTCGGCTGTGTGGAATGAGAAGGCGGGAATTCGCTGGGCCGATAGGAAAGATTCTAGATGATCTGGATTTTGCGCATGCATGATTAATGTTTAGTGTCACACAAAACTCAGAGATGTACAGGTGAAAACAAACAAGTTGGGAGAATAGGCTAGAAGCGAAAACATGACTTCAAGTGAACGTTTAGAAGATGGAGGTGATGAAGATAACCAAGCAACCAGCTATCCATCAACAGGAGGAATTAGAAAGGGTTTACTTCTTTCACTTATCCAGCCAGGAAGCATCATTTCAACTATATATTCAGCGGCACGGGTGACGTTATGGAAACTAGCTAGAATCGGAATGGTAAGTTACACACTCATCATTCTGAAATGAGCCAAGAAGTCCTCACTGCTCAGCATAAATAATGCAACTCGAATGTTAAAGCAGTCATTCATTTCTTCTGTATTGGTCAGGAACTTGTCCAGCGCATCACGAAAAGTATTTCCAACAGCAGCTGCCTCATTCACTGGCTCCATATTGAAAATCAAATGGCCAGCTAACCAGAACTATGGGAACAAACTAACCAAGAACCCGTCTTTCAACAGATGTTCCGTTGAAAAATAGATGGATTGAGCACACTTTGCGGAAACCATCGAATAACACCGCGCGCCACTCGGGTCATCTCTCGAGTGGAACCAAAATGAGATACGGCGAGTTGGTCATCGGTTTGAGAGTGAAGTGGAGGATATCGTGTAGTGAGAAGGAAGAGGAGATGAAAGACTATGTGCTGTTGTGGAGCCAGTCAACTCAAGAGGACAGCAGAGAAGAGAACAAAATGGGGACATACTATTGAAGCGCTATGCTACACTCAGAACTCAAGAGAACAATAATAAATAAATAATAAGCATTTCTGAGAAAGGAAACATCATGCAGTGCCATGATTCTATTCAATAGCTGAGTGATGATTTTGGCGTATATAAAGTGATTCAAAAGGCAGAAATCACTTAAACCCGCCTTTCAAGTAAAGCGAAGAGTAAGACAAGGCTGCTTACTCACCGTGAGCAAATAATATTTTTCATGTCAGTCGACTAGATAATACTGCAAACCATATGTAGGGAGAGAGAGAGATGGGACAGGAATTTGTATTGCTGAAATGGCTATAAGGCTCTAGAAAGTGTGGCGAAGACGAACAAGTTGCCAGAAGAGTCTGGCTGGCTGGCAGTGAACACAGGATGTTTCAAGTGATGAACACAGAGAAGATAGGTAGTGGTGAAGATAGCTGGCCAACCAACAGGGGAAGTCCCTTCACTTCACTTACTTCACCTCAGTAGTACCGTCTCAACTATAGGCAGCAAAACTACAGCGGTTATTGTTCTTAAAACAGACACACAAATAATATCAAGAAACAAAGTTAAAGTCGCATTCAACTTGTGGCCTTTCCACCCATTCAAAGCAACAATCTACACCTACATTTTGACCATATGGATGGATTTTTAAGTGCAGTTGTCAAGGGAACAATCAGTCCGGTGTTTCTAGCCACAGTTTCTAGGATAGACTTGTGTCTGTCTGAAAAGAACACACCATCGATGGTTAATAGCAATATGAAATGCCAAAAATTAAATAAAAACATCTGGTTAGAAAATAAATCCACCAAGAACTGTTAAAAAGTGATATTCCCCCGTCACTGTAATATATTATGTCATTAACTGTTATTAGACTAGAAGGAGCCTTCAGAACACGAAATTTTAACCAACTGCCGACACTGAGATAGACATAAAGTACATGGTTTATCATATTTACAGAAGTACGTCACAAATTTAAACCATTTATGAATAAAAAATTAAATCCGGTTGGTTGTATGATATCGAGATCATTCCCTCAGAAAATTAAGCCATATATAAACCAATCAAAAACTTATCCAATCAGGTTAAATCTATATATGTATATATGAAATATTGCTTAGCCATAAAAAGCGGACTTATACTGTTACCCACTGTTGTTTATCACTTTCCTGGTGACAATAAACATTAATTGCTGAGGCAAAAGATAAGCAACACATCCAGATCTGTGGAACCTCTATGTGCGCTGACAAGTTCACCTGCTTATGTGGAGAAATATATATATATATTAATATGTAAGGTGAACAACTAGACAGCCTGAGAAAAAAAGCATTAATAAGTATTCTCTTTGAGGGTTAAGGTATTATTATTAATATTCCCTTGGGTTTCAAATAGAACACTGAGATTCAACGGCCCACCTCCATTACGTCCTCTGCACTTTTCTTTAACTTGCCACGTTAATGCCTATAGACCCTCATCTCCTCACATGATCTCCTCCATGTCACCTTTGGTCGCCTAACTCGTAGTTTCCAGCTTGGACCTGATGGTCTCCTAAGCGTGTATCTGATCTACTTCCATTTTCGTTTACATATCCACTGAGTAAAAGGTTCTTCAATGGTTCTTTCCCCGCCAGAGTTTCTTGTTACTAAGTGTTTCTGGCTGGCTACTTGATCTTCAGTATGGAGCCATCGAAGGAGGTAGTTGTTGGTAAAAGTCTGCAGTAGCCTGATGAAAATGATTTTCGTGACGCTGTATACAAGAATTAACTGACTCAACATTGGTGTCGAGTATCCGAATTTTGTCGTTTATGTTAGGCAGGGGATATGTCTAAGCTGATTTCAGAGTAACGAAGGAGTCTGTCTTGTCTTTCCGATCATGGTTTTGATACTTTCATCCGTGTAGCCACCTTTAATTGCAACGATACTGCCTGTGTAAATGAAACGAAGTGAGCTCATTCGAATTCCTCCAGGCTATCGTAAGTGGTTCTTGTTACAGTTTTTTGGTTATCATCGTCACCTCTGTCTTCTCTAAATTTTCCTTGAAGTGCCCTGTCTTTGCTGCCTACCATCAGTCCTTCCAACTTGTTTTTCTACTGTAGATCTTCGAGTTTTTGTGACACTAGACATAAATCTTCAATGAAGTCCAGATCTTTGATATGACTCTATTCAGTAACTAGTGTCATGTATCTAGTGCTTCTTCTGGTGAGGATTGCGTTCTATCAGTCCAGTTTGTAATATGGCAAATACCGTACTAGGTGGCTTGATATCCTAGTGCACTTTGAATTGCTACTATTATATGGTTGCAGGCAGTCGGCCACAGGTAGCCTTGGATTTGGGTTTCGTATTTATTGGCACTGATTAGTCGGCGCTCTTGGAGAGACTAATGTCCATCCTGAGATTCGAACCCATGTTACCCAGTTCGCCTGTGGTCAGAGACGTTACCACTGAGCTGTTCGGGCTGACAATTGGCCTCTTGTAGCACTGTCAAGGATACTTTGATTGGACACTGGTTAGTCCCTAGTGTCATGCGTCTGATCCTTTTCGTGGTGGTCCAAAATACCCTTGTAGCCTCACATGATCCAATCTGCCTCAATTATTAATGCAATTGGTGATAGTAGGCAGTGGATGTGTCTAACTCCTGTCTTCACTTTAAAGGCTTCGTTAAATGAGGTTAATAAAGATTTGGGCACCTTTGTAGTGTTGAAGTAGTTTCCGTATTACTTCGAGGTCAACGCCGTCGAAGGCATTTTCAGCATATTCGATGAATTTGATGTGGTAGAGATTTGACTGCCATTATATGCGCGCCCTCTGTTCGATGGTCATTTTTATTCATAATCACTTCATATCATCAATTATAACTACACAGCTTTGAAACTCGTTCTCCATTCCCATTTGTTGTGATCATAGTAAAGCTATTTTCCAGATCACCAATACATGTCTTAAATGTATTCTCTCCCTCAACTGATTCGATAATGAATGAAGAAAGACCCAGTAATCGATCTCTTCCTGTACTCATACTTCTGAAGCCTTACTTGTGATTCTCACCGAAATCGGAGACGAAACGTGGCACTGAGTGGCGCACATATATGCATTCAGAAACAAATTATGTCATGGTTAAATGATACCATGGAGCCAAATTCATTTAATTTTGCGACAAGTTTGATTGTGGATTGGTGTAACTTAGAGGACCATTGGAAACCACTATTGTAATACTGGAAAATTATCTCGTCCTCCCAGTCTGGTACTCTTCAGCAGTACTAACTCACCAGGGTTCAAATTCAAGACACCTTCCTGTAACAAGGTAGGTTTTCGGCCAATGGCCGTTACATGAATCCTAGCTTCTACCTGTTCTTTGAATTTAGCGCAACTGCCAGCCGGCCAGTGTCGTTGGAGGCGATTATTTTCCTCAGGTCTTACAACTAAATTCACTCTACTGATCACACGACTAGGCAATTCCAGGGAACTCTATCCTCCTGTATCCAGTCAGTAGCTGACGAGCATCAGAGTTAGTTTTTAAGAATTTGATTTATTACAAGTTTGGTCGTGGATTGGTGCAAGTTACGGAACTACTGAAAATCATCCAGAGTGTGCTGGAACACTTATGTTTCGGAGTTTTGGACTCCACTATATCATTACGTATCCATAACACCCTCTGGGAATCATACTTGAGGCAGTCAGGGTTCCACCTCTAGTTTTGTGTTGGGTGCGAATTTCTGAATAGCCCCAAATAAGGAGGTCGAGACAGCTGTCCACCATTCACAACTAGGCTTCGATGGGCATCTGACTGCTGTACCACTGCGTGATCAAAACTGAAATCTCATTCGAATCCCTCGCAACCAGTGCTTCAGGATAATTCAGTCTTTCTAATACCCTGATGTAATGGTTGTTAGTGAGGTTAAATACACTGGTCGAAGTAGTAGTAGTTGTGGTATTCGTTCGACGGCATCAATCACATCAGCTGAACACGAAAACCTAGAGAAAACTCTAGATAAGTAGACCGTGTAGTAAGATAAGAAATCTGGAGAATAGCTCAGCTAAAGAATAAAATGAAATAATACACAACTATAGGAATGGGATGGGACAAAGTGAGAGTCTTTGTAACGGAATAATTGTTTAGAAAATCTCTCCAGGTAATATCCAATCACTATAGTCATACTTTTTTGGATGTTCCAGCTAACTTTGCAATTATTGTCCTATTTTTTCTTCTAAGCTCTATGTCACTATTGATCTCACATTTGCGCATCATCATGTATTGATTTAATGCTTACTGTTTGTCTACGTCTCACCCAGTTTAGTGTCTAATTTTAATTCTTCTTTTTGTGGTTGTACGATCATGATACTGACAATGCGCTGTTCTACACCCACGGTTTCGTTTGAGTGAATGAAGGTCATCCTGACAGAGCCAGCTGTTTGTTGGAAGCGTTGGTGTGTGATTCTTATGGATAGAAGTTTTGATCCCATTGTGTTGTGAAGAATAGTCTAATTGATTCCCAGTACCTTGTTTAATACTTGGAAAGCTATCTTGTTTTATAGCTGTGTAATGGCACAGTTGAAGTGATTTTGAGATTTTGATGTTATTATTGTCGAACAGAGGCCCACAGACGTCATGCTACGAATAATGGTCAACTGTTTACTGTCTTTGGAGCGTTTTGTAACTGCGAAAGTGTCTCAAAGACGTTTAAGTCAGTTATACGGAAGGAAGCATAGCTTATTTTAGTTTTCAGAGTTCAAAACACAACAACAAGTTGGTTTTCGTGGTTATAGCCCTAAGGTCTGCCAATAACATGGTTAAAGGGAGAGACTGATCACTGAAGTTCTACTGATTATTCGAATCAACTGAAACAGAATACATGGTAAAAAAATTATCCACCCGGATATCTGAGAAATTTTACTGCCACTACTCATACGGCATAAGAAATGCAGAAGGATACCCAAAGTTTTGTAAATTTAGTTATAATCGATGCTAAGACATGATTATGAACAGTAATGATAAATTATATTGGAAACCCGTTGTCACCCTATATATATATATATATATATATATATATATATCCGTGAATCGAAATCCTTTTTCAAATCCATTTCTTTGAGTTTAGTGTGGGACTCCCAGACTTTAGGCCTAACGTTTTGAGGTTCAAGTAGCAGTGGGGCTGACTTAACGCGCTTTGAGGTTGCTAGCCTCATAGATCTCTTGCATTCCATTTTTCTCTGCTTCCAAGGCAAGGTAGGCGATAACTGCGAATGCGTCAGCAGGCAGTCTAAACCCTACAGTCACTTACATTGGCTGTCCAGCATTCTACCCCTTTGACCACTGAAACACAAGCTTCACATCCAGTTAGACTGCGAATTGACTCAATTCAGGGCCACACGAATACCTGAACTGGGGTCGCTGAATTTATGAGTTCACAGTGCTGATCATTCTACAGTGAGGTCTTTTTCATTCATGAAACCAATAAGTTTCGAAGTAATAAAAACGTCTGTTAACCGAAGTGGATGATTTCTCGGTGTAGTTTCTGTATTCCCTGAGATGGAGTGACTGGTTTAATGAAGTTAATTTTTAAATTAGTACTGAATATGTTGTCAAGATGAACAGTGGAACATTTCAATTTAAATCATCCAAATGATAGAATGGCAATATGATAAAAATAATAATAATAATGATAATCACTTCATTCCAACAGAAACAATTTGACAGAATGGAATTTTCAGAGTTTTTATACATATGGCAACCATTTAGTTCCTTTTATAAATATTTACATGCATAAAGTTTAAAATAGTATCATTAATAATTAAACCACTATAAACACAATCTTAGTGGAAACACAATGAATTAGATAGTATTATAGATAATACATGTAATAGTAATAATAATCTTCGCTTATATCTTGCAGTTCAGTTACTGATTGAAAAAGTTTGTTAGTTACTTTCTGACACCTGACTCTCTCTCTCTCTCTTTACACAAAACCCGTGCTAATTATGCTCTGGAAGAATTTCTATATTTAGTAGCTGTAGGAGCATGCGTTCTTGTGAAGTTGATTCTGGTTTCACTCCCCCACGAAGAGTTACATGGAAAAAATTGCGAATAAGTGAAGAGGATGTCTGGTATCAGACAAGCTAACTTAAGCCAACTGCTTACGAGAATTAAAGTGCCTATCCACACGTAGAATGTCAGTAACTTGAGTCAAAGGCTCCCCCACACACACACGCGACTAACTCTACCTGCTTACAGCTTTCAGTGTTCTACCTAGTATGATAAAGTCTTTTTTGAAAAGTTCAGGGAAGAATAAGTAGAGAGGAGGAACAGTAAAGAAGGTGAATGGGCAGAATACACGAATTAATAAATCGTAAGAGAAAAGGTTGAGTTGAGTTATTCTAGCAGAAAGTTTCAACTTCCTTTTTATGTAATACGTTTGTGCTTAGAATACAGGACAACCAACAGAGATTCCTAGAAAAACTGATAACGAAATAAGAGATACTTGATATGCTTCCCATCGCACAGCGCTGTCAATATTACAGGTATCATGAGATTGAAACAGACAGTCCCGGCGAGTCTTGTTCGCATCTGAAACTAAAATGAAAAATATGATACATTTAGACCATTTAGGTGAGACCACCTGTTGACTTCAGATAGGAATCTATTCACATTTAAGAACAACCAAATATGGAATGTACTGGGACGGAAATCGTTAGATTGTCAGCATATTTAGTGAAGCTAACAACGGAAGTATACGGAAGGTTATGCAAAGAGAAAGGAATAGGGAATGGAGAGAGTACAACAGCACCTTGAGCCACACAAGTTTCTGTTAGCTAAATCTATTTAGTTCGTTCCGGAAGGGATATGCAAACACAGAGAATAATATTTTGCTTGCCTTTGACAGGACCAACTGTCAAATAGGAAAACTTAATTTCATTTGAATTGATGAATGGGTTTAAGATTCAAAACACGATGAGGTAAAACAAACTTTGAACATGCAAGAGAAGTTCCTTCATTGTTTTCAAAAATGGAGGCGTTATGGCGGTTGGCATAAACTTTAAACCTGATTCAGAAGATGATAATTCTGCACAGGCACCACCCTTATTTCTATCCAGGCAACAGGTACTCAATTTCGCCCTTAATCATGAATAATGACATCAAAAGTTCATCAAGACAGAATACATAACAGGGTGAAGGCTGAAAAAGATAATTAATCGATCTCCACCTACTCATATGTTATATATATATATATATATGCGTGTACAGAAACATCCATGCACAGAATGAAAGGTAATGCCAAGTGACGTATAGCATTATGCATACTTATCTAGTCGTGTTTGAATGTAATGTAATACACCATGTGAGGTCCTAGAACTGGTCAATATTGGATCGATAATTCTTTCTTTAAACAGAGAAAAAGTAGTGATGAAAAAATCAATAATTTTTTCAAATACATGATTCAAAGCTTTATTGCTAGAAATGAAACAAAATTTGGATTTATTGAGAAGGAGAGGTAGTAGCATCAATACAATGAACTGTGTCTTTTTATAATTTTCTATGGTGTTTTTTCTACGACCTATGTACTTCAGAATTCCATACTTCTAACGAATTCAATTTTGATCACGCTTTGAGATCCATTGAAATCGAGGTCTAGAGTACCAGACTTCTTTTTCTTCTTAATATAGAACACATATTTAGCAGTACGCACCCACAAACCGCCGTTCAAATCCAGGACAACTTCCGGTCACTAGACAACCTCATAGGCCATCACGTAGTCATTTGGGCTCAACTCAAAGGCTCATTAATTCCTATGCAAGCATCAGTCAATGTTAGTGGTCATGCCCGACCTGGTAAACCAGGGAACTCGGGTTGAATTATTTAATGTTATATGCATAACCATTTACATATGAGAATGAGTCTAGAATTAGGGTGGCATTTACATCAACCAACCAACCATTCAACTCTGTAAGAGGTAGACTTTTTCGGTTTGAGGACCCAATGGATCCACTTTAGAAAAATCCCGCATAATCTACCAAAGACCATATAAAGATTGTGAAATCATTTACATAGGTAAAAATATCAGGAGATTGGAATCAATTAGTTGTGTTCTCCGAGCTGGTTGGTTCAGTTGTGGAGCTTTCGTCGTCCCCCTGCTCGACAACATCTTCAGAGCAAATTTCAGTATAAAATGAACAGATTTAAATTCTCCATGAATGATAGAATTGCGTCTCCTGGCAACCATCTTCGTGACTGATAATCGGTTTTTACATCTGTATTGATCATTTTTTATTGACTTGGATTTTGAACTTTCTCATCACGTGGTTTACTTTTTGTTAGTTGGTAAATTTGGTTTATATTAATATGTTTGTTAATCGCTAACTGATTCACTTGAGTACCAGGCTTCTAGGAATTCCCTGGCACTTTTGGTCTTTCCTCCGTCTAAAATTTCGACATTATCTCAATCAAACTGATGTCCATAATTATCTGCATGCATTGATATGATGGAAGAATACAAACCCGATGCCTTTTTACAGCTAATCTGTGTTCTTGGATTCTGATTAGTAGGTGACGCCCACTTTGACCAATGTAATGTCTGTTACAGTCCATGCAACTTATTTTGGAAATGGTGTTAATTTTATCTTCTTTTTCTGTTGGATGGTTTGGTTTGCGAAATATCGAATGAAGTGATTGTGTTTGCTGGCTTTTGTACTACATCTATTTCAAACGGTTCTAATAAACTAGCTGTTATTTCAGAGATATTTTTTAAATATGTTATAAAGAATTTTCGTGTAGTCTTTGATGATGGTTTCTTGATGGCGTCGTGACTGGAGTTTAAACACTTTTTGTTAAATTTGTGAGGATATTCATCTTCAAAAGCCAGCAAACACAATCACTTCATTCGATATTTCGCAAACCAAACCATCCAACAGAAAAAGAAGATAAAATTAACACCATTTCCAAAATAAGTTGCATGGACTGTAACAGACATTACATTGGTCAAAGTGGGCGTCACCTACTAATCAGAATCCAAGAACACAGATTAGCTGTAAAAAGGCATCGGATTTGTATTCTTTCATCATATCAATGCATGCAGATAATTATGGACATCAGTTTGATTGAGATAATGTCGAACATTTTAGACAGAGGAAAGACCAAAAGTGCCAGGGAATTCCTAGAAGCCTGGTACTCAAGTGAATCAGTTGGCGGTTAACAAACATAATAACATAGACCAAATCTACCAACTAATAAAAAGTAAATCACGTGATGAGAAAGTTCAAAATCCAAGTCAATAAAAAATGATCAATACAGATGTAAAAACCGATTATCAGTCACGAAGATGGTTACCAGGAGACGCAATTCTATCATTCCTGGAGAATTTAAATCAGTTCATTTTATACTGAAATTTGCGCTGAAGATGTTGTCCAGCAGGGGGACGACGAAAGCTCCACAACTGAACCAACCAGCTCAGAGACACATAACTAATTGCAAATCACCCATCTAAGCTACAATTATTCTGTATTATTTCAAGATCGGAGTCAATTAGATTATTGTAACATGCACATTTAGCTAGATACTGATTGATTGATACTGCTATGTTAAATAACCTAGAAAAAGAAAAGCTTGGTCATTGCATGGTATTGCATTGCATTCACTTGCACGTTACCACACAATATGTTGGGTTAGTCAGACAGATTGAAATTGTCAAATATTATGTAGTTAAGTGGAGACAGTTAGAGAGAGAGGTTATTTAATTAGTGAATCTTTGTTTGTCGGATCAGAACGCCAAAACTGCGTGCAACTGAAATCACGCTACTCTTATACTGTCAGCAAGCAATAATGGGAAGGGGGAGACAGAGAAAGAGATAGAATATGTTTATATATAAAACAAATTGTGAATCCGTGTGACTAAATCGATATGATGATTATGAGTAGCAATAATTTATGTTGGAAACCATGTCATCTAGTTGTCATCACTGTGTGTGATATTTAAAATAAACTTATCTAATATGGAAATACATTCTATCACAGTGCCAAAATTTTACACTTAGATTTTATTAGCATCTTAAATGGAATGCGCGTTCTAGCCTGTTTCCATGGATATGGTTTCAAAAGCTCATTGATCGCTTGGGCCTCATTCCCAAATGTACTACGCCTCATCTCAATGCTACTCACCATATTATACCACTCAACTCAAAGGACATCGAACGCAAACATCTGCCGGTGATGAGAGGCAGCTTTCCAGGCTTTTATTATCTTCTAGTCCCACCTGCTACACCCCACAGTAACTAAGAAGGACAGGGCGAACTGTTGCTGAGAAGTAAATTTGTCCTTTCGTCTCTCTCCTTATATATATATATGTATAATTGTCCCCTTGTGTCCTAAGTGCAGCATAGGGCTTCAACAAGACTTCTCTACTTTATTCTTCTTTATGCTATCCTCTTTAGCTGGCTGCCACAACGACTGTAGATACTCCCTCATCTCCTCCTCATTACCCCATCTCCTCAGTGTCGACCTCAAACCAGAGCCTCAATCGTCGCTTCCCATTCGGGTTGTACACGAGTGATTGCCTGATTCACGCACGATTTCACTCAACGGTTTCCTCAGCGTGTGAGTGATCCACTTCCGTCTAATTCTGCACATTTTTGAGTATTAGGTTCTTAGTTGGTTTATCTCCACAGTTTCTTAATGCTTATTCTTTGACGTGGGCCGGCTATTCAATCTCCAAGATGAAGACAGAGAAAGGGACGGTTGTTGATAAAAATTTGAAGCAGCTTGTTGGAAATTCTTTTCGTGTAGCTGGTGTCGAATTTCTAACCCATATATAGAAGAACTTACTGACTGATTAAACATTGCTGTTGAAAATCCAAGTGTTTTTCTTGTTGCTGAGTGCATAAGATTTCCAAACTGATTTAAGAGTGATGACCATATACTGCCTTGCCCTTTCAATTCTGGCTGACTTTGATATCTTCATCCGTCCCACTGACTGCGGTTGGACCGATGTTTCCTAGCTGGAGAAGTGAAGGAAGCAACCAATTTGTTTTTGCCTCTACATTTTCTTCGAGTTTGTGTGATGTTGAACATAAATCATGCTTTCGCGAAATCCAGATCTTCTAGAGTCTTCTCATCCCTCCAACGTATTCCGACCTTTTCGCTTCTTACTCACAGTCTGACACATACTCCATTTCACCACAATTAAGAACACACATGTATATTTCACTGTTGGAGGAACATTTATTTCATATAAATTGTATTGTTCAACAAAAGACCATGTGACTTATAGTCCAAAAGTACAAATATGCCGCAAATCTTCTCAACTCACTTTACCGTGATGGATAAAACAATAAGGTGATTGAGTAAAGTACAAAAAACTCTAACTTGTTTTTTTTTCCTAAAGTAAAACGTACTTATTTTCATTCCATAATAAATGTCGATAAGGATATGATGGAGACATGCGCTCCCCTGTGCACTATTCTCTGAAGTCGTCTTAAGATTGGCTTCACAACGTTTTGTGTAAGCTTTCATTTTCTCCTCGCCATACAACAATCTCCACAGTGTGTGTGTCACTCCCCACGATACACATCCAACCAATCGTTTTCCATTCGGACTCCACTAAAACGATAGCAAGACCAGTGTGCCTCCAGTCCATCTCTGTTTTCTTCAAAGTATTTTCGGGCTGTGGATTCTTGGTTGGTTTCTTTGTTTGCAAGAGTTTCTTGTTGCTAATCTGATCTTCAGCAAGGAGCTAGCGAAGGGGCAGCTTTTGACAAAGGCTTGTATCAGACTATTGGAAATTCTTTCCATGACATGCCAACTGCTTATTTCAGTGGATTTTCAGACTGATTTCAACTTCTTGCCTTCCAGATCCTGCACTTCATAGTGTCACTGATTATAATAATGATACCAATAATAACAGAAGCTTTATTGTGCACAATAAATTTGCACAACATGCACAATTTTCAGCGCAGTTTATTGCATAATTTTTATTCTTTATCCAGGAGTAAAACAGCCGTCTCGAGTAAATCATTTGACGCAGTGATGTTAGATCCAGAGAAAAATATAATCCATTTTCTCGGATGGAAATTCAGATAGCCCAGAGTATCAAGCAGGCCATCATTAGTTGAAATAGTGCTGCTAGATTAAATGGAAGAGGCACCTACCTTCAAATTTCTTCCGCCAATAGTGACTGGCTGGTTATCTTCATGCCCTCTATCTTTTCTGTGGCCAATTGATGTCTCGCCTTCACTGCCAGCTAGCCAGACTCCTCTTCCAACTTGTTGGCGCCAGACTAATTCCACTTTACAACACAGTATGCTCACTAACCCAGTCAAACGTAGATAAGTATCCTGCTCATTTCAACTGCAACTGCATTTAACAATTCACCTGCACTTGTGGCACCAAGTACATTGGAAGGGTTGAGAGGAGATCGTCTGCTAGACTCTTCAAGTACATCCTTAAAAGTCTCTCTCTTCAAGGCAGCAAAGTATTCTCAAGCGCAATCTGCAGACACCTAATTGATTAACACGGGACATACAGCGGAAATTAGTCATGCTTCCAAAATAATCAGTACACAAAGTAAAGCATGTTTACTTGGGTTCGCAGAAGCCATTGTCATTAAAAGAACTAGACTCAACCTATGCATACAGGAAGATAGTGTGATTAATCTCTCACTACCCTGGTAACCGTAATTGTTGTTTTCGTGTGCTTTTGTGTTTTGTCCTGTTGCCTAGCATTCCATTGAATCTTGATTTTGACTTAAACTCACTAAGTTGAACTCATCACTATTCAGTTTCCAGATCGACTACAATACTTTATCTATTTTATAATTTTACTTCACTATTCACGCTTGCCCTCCTGAACTCTCCACCATAATTTGTATAACTTAACTCTGTTGTTCCATCTTGCATATTGTCTGTAGTCCATTCTTGTTGCCAAGCAAAATCTGAACTCCATCTCTTTGTCTAATTACTGTATGAATAGTTACCCTCTTTTAACTCTAAATAATTGTCTGCTAACATCATCTTTGAAATTACGTTCTCCATAATTTCTATCTTTAATTTGATGTCACTGTAAAAAGTATGTTCGGATACTATTTTGAAACTTATGATTGATTTATTTAGGATGTACTCAGTCGGAGTGAGTCCACAAAATACCACAAGCTGGTATTATCCTGCAAATATGTTCGTTCTTCCTTTATTCAAACTTATGAAGGGAACTTGCTGTATGAGGTTCCACATTAATTTGCTTATTAGATACATCACACACAGTGAGTGAAACGGCATTGGTATTTACTGGATGGCGACGCCTTTCGATAACAATTTACCATTATTGTTCACAATCATATCATGTCAGTTATAAACACACAACTTCGAAACATTCGATTTATAGTTCTCATTTCACTACTCCCCATTTATTGTGGGGATAGTCGTAGATAAGTGTTGAGTCATTCCTACTGGACGAATTTTCAATCGTCACTGGGGTCATCAGTATCACAGATAGTTGCACATATATATTCATGAACAGGTGAGATAACGTAGAGGCTGTAACGTTCAGTCTCACTCGTCTCCAAAGTATGCTGGAGGTATGTTGATGACACATTCACTGTACTCAGAACATAGGAGGTAAACAGATTGTTTGAATGTATCAATTCAAAGGTAGGAACTGGAAAGTCAGGAAGAGAAGATTTCAATGTTAGATTGTAGTATAAACACACACTAGTGTGTTTACAGAAAACTCATATATTCAAATCGATATTTGGATTTCAGATCGTACCCACACTGCTGGTCAGTAAAAATAGGATTGATGAAATGCTAAAGTGACAGTAGCGCGAAAAAATTAAACAGTACCAAGGAAAATCTAAGACAGGAAGTAAGACATATGAGAGAAACTTTAAACTTAATAACTGTTGTGATAAGTTAATCGAGAAGTATGTAGGAAAATGTAAAATAGATATCAGTGGTAGTAATAGTGATAATAAAATAATAATAATAATGCACAGAATGATGCAAAAACACTAACAATAAGGAATTTAAATCACCAGTAGTACTTCCATACAAAGAAGGAACCTGAGAAACATCGTATCCCATCTCGCCTATGTTGTGTGCAACAGTGTACAAGTGAATGCATTGTAGTGGTTGAGCTTTACTTTTGATTATGTAACTTATCAGGGTCAACCATTCTAGGTCTGGCTTAACTGCTGTGTCATCTGTAATAATTCGTTTATTATATTTATCACACACAGTGAATGAAACAGTATCATTTACTCGATGATGAGGCATTTGGAACACAGTTTACCATTTTTGTTCATAATCCTAGCATATCAGTTGTTACTACATAACTATTATGTACAGAAGGTAGTAATTCAAGCTGCCATATTCTCTTTGAGTAGCACACAAAGGAAGACTAACAAGAGGGAAAACAGAGATTCAAAGGAACCACCTTTGAAATTCTCATTTGTGCTTTCGCCTGAAGTTAAAACGATGCTGTCTAGATGAGTTGAAGAAATAACTTTGTTCACTTAAAGTCTTGTTCGCTCAGTCAGGCTGTTCAGTGAAACTCCAATTGGGGAGAGACAAGTTCGGCATACAAAAGGAGTAAAATATCATATGGAGAGGAGAGAGTGAAACTACGCCGAATGCTGAAAATACTTTGGGTTATATTCCTTTTTTACCCTGATTTTCCTTTCCTGCGCTTCTGGCATCATGTCACAGTTCCTAGAATGACACTTCGTTTAACGTTCTACGTAAGTCATTTAAGACAATGGGGTATCACTAAGTCAGTCAATGTCTACTTTTATAGTTTGTTGCAGCATTCTAATTATTCTTCTTTACTGCTGTACCCTGCCCCCGTCTCTTTCTTTCCTGAGCTACTTAAAAAACTTGCTTTGTTACACCGCGAAAGCTGTCAGTAGATCTAGTGGGTTGCGTCAAAATAACGTGTTAATACTGTTGCAGACAGTTAACAAATGGACTTATGCAAGAAACTGGCGAATATTGTCATGTCGGATGGACGATAAACATACACAACCATACACAACCCTCTCCCTGCTTGCATCTCTTCAAGAAGGTGGGACTAGAAGCAAATATTAGAAGACTATATGCTCAGACGATTGAGTCTGAAAACTCTGCAATATATTATTTGGCCCGGACACATTTTCTGTGATGGGAAGAGTGTGTAAGGCAAAACACTACCAACTTACTGCGGAACTATAAGTAAACAGCCATTTTCTTCTTTATTTTCACTATTACATTGTTTTTAATATTTCTAGTTAAGTCTAAATTTGATATGTATGTTCTTATTGAACAATATTACCAATGTAAACGCCTCTGTTTAAATTTTTCCCCTGTAATGAGGAAATTAGATGTAATACTGTATGTAGTACATGTCGCAAACTCCGTTTTTGTATCAGAAGTACTGTTTAGGAATGAAGCCATTATTACAACTATTGGCGGAACCAACTACAAAGAATATATCATAGAATTAAGGAAAATGGAGATAAGGCCGGGTTGGAACCGAACATTTTCCTCAGACTCCTGGGGATGAATAATGATATTGATAATTGTGCGAGAATAAGGAAATGAAGCAGATTTTTAAACTGATTACTTTGTGATAAATGTCTCTCTAGCCTCTGTGATTCTGCTGTTAACACTCTCATCTATGCTGTTCTGCGTAAATGAAACAAAGCAAAAAGGCTATGTGATAGCACTTACCGTGAATTAGTTTGACGAGATCTTCGACATTCTGGGGAAAAGCGACATGAAGACTCGGAAACTACGTTCAGCAGTTTCGTGATGATGTCAGATGTCAGGTGATTCACAACGGAATACTCAGTGAAGACCTTGAGGTGATTGAAGACATAAGTAAGATGAGGCTGCCTAAAATCACTAATGATATTTCTTATTATGGTGGACTTAGTCATGTTAAAAGCACCTATTTATAAGCTTAATTTCACACAAACTCGAAGATCTTCGGGTGAAAGCAACATTATTGACAGAAGAAGCACCGAAGATAGGTCTACACGTCAATATACAGAAGACAGAAGTGAGAATTGAGGAAGATATCCACCAAACGAAGACAACAAATACCAGTCTCTGTCAACGGCAGAGACTTAAAGGATGTCAGCTATTTCAATTAGTTAGAGAACCAGTGAAAACCAGACACAGGGAGTACTGGACAGCAGCTTTTCCTCCCTAGTTTAGGACTTATTGGGAGTAGGCAGTCACCGCCGAAGTTCAAACCGGAGACCTATCAGTTACAAAGCGAGCTTTTGGAGAATTCTTCAGCCATTGGGACTCATTCGACTGAATGGTCAGTCCGTGAGCTCTAACTTCTCCACCAATTCGTGATTTCAGCGCGACTGGCAACTGCCAATCCGGCAGGTATATACTGTCCATGAGCACTAAACTAGCAGCAGAGAGCTTTCCGGTACTCCCTTCCTGGCTGATTTTCAAAGGTATTACCGTGGTCACACATCAATCCGTGATTACACTTGAAACAAATGAAATCCCTACATAAATATATCATATCACCTACAGGAGATGTGGATGAGCATTTCAAAATTAGGAACAAGATATCAAGATAATCAATCCTTTATTACTGTGAAACCAGTGTTGAAATATATTGAATCTAGCACAAAATGGAACATACAGATATTTAATATTAATGTTAAATCACTGCTTTTATATGCTTTAGGGACTTTGGCAAATCACACAATCATCATTTCAAAAAGACTGCTAAGGAATTACATGAACACCACTCTTCATTTGTCTCAACAATGAAGATAAGATGACCAGCTCGAACAGACATGAGTTACAAAGAGTTCTGCAAAACTAAACAACCGGAACTATTTATCGGATGACATGTCAACAGATACCCTTCTCATGTTAACAACTCTAACTGCGTGTTTACAGATTTACATGTATCTGCGGGAGCAGTTACTTTGGGAGAGGAGAGGAAGTAGGGCATAACTTCGATTTACTGAACATTTACCAAAAGGTTATCATCTCAGTGGAACGAACGCTCACAAAAGTTTCATTATCAGACACCTCATCAATACGAGTCATTAAGAAATCGTTTAAAATTATCAATAGGCAAAAGAGTTCAATGCTTCCCAAGTTTGCCGAAGAAATCTCCATCATGCGCCTGAAACCCGATTTATGTGTCTGTTCAGAAAGAAGCAGTTATCAGTCCTTTCTTGACCTGGTAACTCAATGTCTTTACTCTCTCTATCATTTTATTACGTAGCTCTAGAAAATTCCATTATGTATGATTATTATTGTTTGGGATAAAGTGATTGTTACAATTATTACCACTGTATGCAATTACTGACTTTTTACTTAAACGTGAGCTCTCTGCATATGTTAAAATTGTTTTTGCACTTCAACTTAGTAATAATATCTTTGGATTGTAAAGAGCTCATGAGAAGCTAACGAAATAAACAATGATAGTATTGGTTTATACTGCACAAACTTGTTCTTTCTAGATTCGAAATACAATCTTCTGAGAAATATGCCAAACATAAAAGAGTTCAGATGGATTGGATGCGCACACATTGTGAGTAGACGTTCCGTGAAAACTGCGCACCTGGCGGTCCCTCAAGTGGAACTCGAATGGTAGACTATGGATAGGACATTGGAAAGTGATAAAAGGGGGAGATCATGACAGGAGGAGGGGGGAGAACGAAAGGTTATGAACAATTGCAAAACTTGCTTTAAATGGATCGGAGAGAATAGAGTGAGAGAAGTGATTCTCTCTGGGCGAATTCTATGCTCCACTTGAAAGCCAAGTCCATGTTAAATGGATGCTAACTAAATTCAGTCTCGAGATGATCACCGATGACAGGTAACACATCATCTAGGTATACTTCGAATCTCCGAAAGGGACATAAAAAAGGTAGTGGCTTTATCATGAACAATAATGTAGAGAATTTTCGGTCAATTTTATCTCAACATATTTTTCCTTAGTCCATGACCTTCAAATGAGAAATATCGGTTGACAATAAAGATCGTGTGACACAGTTCTGTATGACCTGAAGAGAGAACCGAGCCATTATGTGATACCTGTTCTTCTTCTCCTTCGAAAAATACACAAAGACATTTTGTCGAATGACGAATATGAAAAGTTCAGTAGGACATTTTTGGAACCAAGGAAACCAATGAGTAACGATCATCTCATTCACTGGGATAATCATACCATCGCGGATAATGCTTCTTCAAGTGTTTAGTCGAAACTTGAGAATCAGTAGGTTTTTGAACATTTTGAATACTCGTCAGATTAAACTATAAACAGTACTAGAGGTCATATTTTAATAGATTTAAACAAATTGAACAAGAGAAACTATCTGTAATGTACTGACAGAGGTTTTTTTCGGAAAGGTAGCTCAAGTTTTAAGCAGGCCACCTTTTCAACGATTGGTGCCTGATAAGCACCCATAAACCTTCCTTTCACAGCAATCTCCAACACCGAATGAATAAGTTTTTCTTGTCAGATATCCTCTAAATGATACAACTAAATATTACATAAACGCACACACTACGATGACTAGTCTTCATAATAAATCAATTTTTTCACCACATACCACAGTTAAAGAGAAACAACGTATAAAACAGATTTTTTATACTTACAAGATAATGCACCACCCATCTTTAATTGTTCATTTATTTTTTTTTAAAATAGGCAAGGAAAATGGGCCGAGAACTGGGAACAATCACTACTTGATTTGACTAGTTAGCTTCCCTGAACAGTGAACATTACTGTACACCAAAACAGTGTACAACATTTAACATTGGACATTCATTCAATCATTAGAAGAGTGTTGCTTATTATTAATATAGCATACTTTTTTCAGAAGTATTAATCCACAGTTCTAATCACACAGTTGAGCACAACTGTTTTCTTTTTTTGAGATTTTTTACTACTTCTGCCTCATTCTCTAGTTTCACCAATAAGAGACAATGACACAGGATTACACTAGTGACATATGGCATCATATGATGTGGTGAATTTGAGCAATTATGGTGCTGTTTTGGTGTGTGTGTTACCAAGTAGACTATGCAGTAAAACACAGCCTACTCAAGAGGTGTGGGTGGATGTGCATGCGTGTGTGTGGAGATCAGAGAAAGTACACTAAATGCACATCAGTTGGATCAATAACTGAGTAATTGTTATTTTGTTTTTTACAAAAGTTCAAATCTTGACAACTTTTTACTAATAAAATTTAAGAATTAACGAAAATGAAGACAAAATGAATTTTGTTCAGCGAAGTGACTCTTCTTTTCGTGAACTCTGTTTTATTGTATGGAGGATTTCATCATGAGCTGACATCACTTAGAGAACCACTGGAAAACCTGGGAGTACTGGACACCTGTTTCGTCCTAGTTTGGGACTCTTCAGCAGTACGCACCCACCGGGATTCGAACCCAGGACCTTCTGGTTACAAGGCGAGCTCGTAGACCATTGAGCCACTGGGACCCGATCCAATGGTCCTTGAATTCTAACTTCTGCCAATTCACGACATAGCGCGACCATTTCGCAATGTCTTCTTAGATGAGTTACTGTCACATCTTCAACCTGCTGTACCCTACTGGTCACGGCTTCCCACTAGAACCCCAGGTTAACTGCCTGAATAGGGCCAGTCACTAGTGAGCATCAGATTAATTTTCAAGTATTGGTTTGGTAATCGTGCGTGAATAACGATACTGCTCCACTCACGGCATGTGATGTATCTAGTAAACGAATTATAGTAGAATACCATTTCACTCACAAAACTGTCAACCATCCGTGTCTGACAATGAAAATATTGATTGCTTAACTGTTCTGTGTTATAGGACGGCTAATTGTCTTATACTGCAGACAGACATTTGCGTCCGATCTCCCACCTTAAGTGGTGCACTTTGCTTAGTCAAAATGAGATTATATGTAGAGTGTTAGGTGTGGTTATCAGGCTACGTCGACTGAGACGACTAGTCAGCGTGTTACGCATCCCGACCCATTCGGCTTCTTCGTTATCCAATGTTAAGTGGCACTGAATTACATTGGAAAGGAACTATTTCCATATTAGATGGGTTCACTGTGATGCAGCAATAATGATTGGATGACAAGATTTCAAGCATAAATTATTGCTGCTAATAATCATCATATCAATTTAGTCACACAGCTTCGCAACCTGTCTTTTCTTTTTTTAAAAACAATTAGTTCCCCTCATGAATTTAGATAAAGCAATAAGAAGACATAATTTGTCTGAATCGTGTAATGTATTTGCGCAACACATTTCGAACAATCTGATCACACACGGACTCGTTATAGGAATATATATGATGAAATTAGTAAAGAATTAAGAGGTGAAAAAGTAGACTTAGGTCAAGTTAAAAGGACATATTCAAGGTCAAAATAGCAATGAAGATCACAGTACATCTGCTATGGTATCAAAACAAAATTTATCAAGGACAGTCTAATGTGATGACGAATTGTTTTTGAACGCATAAAAGTGGTTTAAACATTTTAATTGCTAGGGCTTCCACAAACTTTAGGATACGCCCAAACACGTTTTATAAATAGGTTTAAAAGACCTGTTAACGTCAATTTTATATCCTGTCTCTATAATATGTTTCTCAATAGAGCAGCTAGGTCTCCTGTTCTCACCATTAATGCGTTCTGAAGATTCTATTTGTTTCTGGAGCCATTTAGGAATATGCTCTGAAGCCCTTACTTGCATAGATCGATGAGACCTACCTATGTATGTGTGTCCACACGTACACTGAAATGGGATGTGACATCATTTTTTGCATGTTCGAAGGTCTTAGATAGATATAGTGGCTTCACATTCTCACTTGTTCTGATATTAGCTGCATAAATAGTCGTATTAACAGCAGCGTTCAATCTTTGTCTAGTTGTCAAACTGCTATGATGCTCCAAATAGGGAAGTTTGATGTACATGTCTTTCTTAGGGGCGATTTGGAGAGTGGGATTTGGTGTTCTGACTACTTTATATCTCCTGATGAACTTGTCTGGATAATTGTTATCAGCCAGAGTTTGTGTCAACTTTCTTTCTTCTTCATCAAGTGTGTCTTCAGTTCATATTCGTTGGATTCTAGTGAAGAGGCACCTTACTAAGGCTCTTTTGTCTCCTTATGCCTCTTGTTGTTTGTTGACACCTTTCTCAACCTCATTATAGTCGTTGCGTCATTTTGACCGTATGTGCTGGGGCAATGAACAAAGATTCAGTGAGTAACCTCTCTCACTTTCTCATTGTCTCTACGTTACTATTTCACCTATTAGTACTCTTGCCCTGTCTCAGTAATCCAACATATTGTGTGATTACATGCAAGTGAATGCAATGTAATACAATGGCCAGGATCTGTTTCTTTCACCTTATTTAACTTAACAGGGTCAATCATTCTATGTCTAGCTAAATGTGAATGTTCCAGTTATCTAATTGATTCCGATTTTTCTTAGTTGGATCTACTGGGTCCTTCAGCCTACAGAGTTTTTTCCTGAGAGAGTTGAATGGTTGGCGGATTGGTTTAAATGACACTCACATTAAGTCCAGCCTCATTAGGGATGCTACTTAGTAAAGCCTGTGATATTCCTACTTTAATTCATGGAAAATTCTCATTGGAACATATAGAAAATCAAAACAAGTGATTCAGCAGAGAAGAGACTCTTTTCAACGAACTTATTCTCATTAAACTGCACAATCGTATACATGTGGTTTTTAAGAAGTTATATCCAGTGAGGAAATTGAATTTTAGGTCTGAGTGCATAAAATAATAAAAGTAGTATAAAATGCAATTAAAATATTTGTGATCATAATCATAGTTAAATGTCAAGTAGCAAAACAATCAGTGTCATATATAGAATAATACATAAGGTGTATAGATGTTGGAAAGGGATACATAATTATAGGATTAGTAGGCAAATCGAATAAAATAAAAACGTTACTTAATATTGTGTGAAATTTGAAAACATAGAATTTAACGTTGCAAAACAAAGCTGATTTGGAAGAACAAGTGATACGAGGGAAATAATACCGGGCACAATTCAAAGTGAGAATAAAATTAATAGTAACAATTGACAAAATAAAGGAAGAGTATACAAACTGAATAGACAAGACGACAAAATTGTTTAAGCCAAAATATGATTAGGGATTACCATACTTTAGCATAGAGGGATTAAGACCATGAAAGTTAGAGGTTTTGGCCTTCCACTCTGCCCTATCTTGGATATGTCCGAATCCCCTTATCATCCAGTAGCTGGGTGGTTAGCTGAAATCCTCGAACCCGTCAGGGGACAACTATCTATTCATTCCCTTCGGGACACCTTCCAGTTTGTTGAAAGTATATAGGATACAAATGCTTCGAATAAACACATGTTCTCTTTGGATGTAGAATCTCTGTTTACGAAAGTTCCACTGACAGGAAACATATGTTTCGTAGGCAAATATATTGAAGACAACAAATTGAATACAGGGATACCCACTACAGATCTGAATGAACTACTTTTGAGATGTACATTGAATGTACAGTTTACTTTCAATGAAGCAATCTACAGACAGAAGGATGGTATTGCAATGGGTTCTCCCTTGGGTCCTCTCCTTGCAGAATGTTTTATGTCCAGTCTAGAAAATGACCAGTTGAAGTCAACAATCCAAAGCTTTCAAATGTATAAAAGGAATGTAGATGACACCTTTATTATTTGTAATAGTGATTGTAACTTGAATAATATATTAAATGTATTTAATGGTTGCCATCCGGTGATAAAATTCACACTCGAAATGCGGAACGAGTCTAGCATTCATTTCCTCAATGTGAACTTATCAAGGAGGACCGATGGAACTCTGAACAGATCGATTTATCATAAGCTGTCATGGAATGGTCAACTGACAAATTTCTACAGCTGGGTACCCATTGATTTTCTATTCCTACTTTACACGCCAGTACTTAAACAGCTGAATAAATTCTGGTGGGTGTTTAGTTATTCAAGAGTAATATTTTCTTCATGTGTTTAATTTCATTATTTAAAAAATCTTCTGGCTTATTAGTTAGGCCCTTGGCCAGATTATATAGACATTTAAATAAACCTCTCTTCCTTTACTAATTCTAAAATGGGATAATATAAACCTTAGTCTAAGTATTCTTTTTTCACCATCTAGCTTTCATTTTATTCTACAGTCAGTCTAGCATAATGACCAACACACCTTGTTCGTTTTCTAACTCGGAAGTAAAGCAGTAGGTGGGGATGATTGGGTTTGATCAAGTGGAAACCTAACACAATTTCTTAAGGTCTCCGACTGGTGTTGGTTGCAGCCTGTTACTTTATAACGAGGTGTAGACTACTTGAGGTCATTGAGACTGTAAGATCCATTTGCTTGAAACTGAAGATAATATTGGCTAAAAGTAATTCTCAGGGGAAAAGCCGCCATTTTTGAATTTTCTTTATATGGAATAATGACGACTAATCAAGGAATAAGCGAGTGTTCAAGTTGATTATGTAACAGGTACTTAAAGAAAAATAAAATAATTTGGACAATGATAATTTTTAAAAAGCTTAGGAGGAGGGCGAAGTAATCAGGTCTATATATTCATGTAACGATGGCCGAGGTGAGGAAAGTCACTGTACAAATTTCTCCTAAAAGCAAAGGGAGGTTTGGCTTCATAAGGAGTGGATTACGATGGCTTCAGTTGCAGGTAGAAGATGAACTCGTAAAGGTAAATTAAGGTTAGCCTTCCGAATTTGCTGAATAACCTTAAATGCTTTTGATGTAGTTGTGTTCTCTGAGCTGGATAGTTTATTTGCGAAAGTTTCATTGTCCTACTAGGCAACATCTTCAGCTCATACCTCAATTTGAAGAGAGCTTTTAGAATTCGTCACGAGTTAATTAGTCATTTCTCCTGGAGACCTAGAACGTGATTGATTATTTTGCATGTCTTCACACCATCTAGGCTACTTGTATTAGAAATGATTGTTTCCTTGGCT